AGAAGATGAGTTCCAGCTGTCCCTCAGTTACCAGTTGATGGGCTCTGACTCATTTCTTTCCAACAGTTGGCACCTGTTTTCTGTCAGCTGACTGTCACTGCAGCATTCTGCTTTGAGGAGAAGAGAAGGCATGAGCTGTAAGCTCTCAGAAATGATGAGGCACGTGGTGACCAGAAGCCTTACTCCTGATAGAACCCCCAATCAAACTGGGAAACTGTTAACTAGAGGAAGCTAGAAGATAATGTCTACCCAGGTGAGCTAATGCTGATCCTGGAAGATGGTCCAGGAAGAAGGGACTCTGTCTGGAGAAATGCATCCACATCTTGGAGAGTTACAATGCACTCTAGTATATTAAAAGACTTCTGAAAAATGCAATGAAAAAAATAGAAAAATCACAGTTTTTAACTCAGTGTTTGACAAATGTACATGACCAGGAAGTCCTTTTTCAACACATACATACACACACTCACACATACACGCGCACAGACTCTGCTGATCAATATGGTACAAAACGTACTTTGGGGTAAAAAAAAAAAAAAGCAGGGGAGGCGTAAATTATCATCAATGTAGGAAGGCCAAGGAATGGGAAGGGAAATAAAATACCCCAACATAGTAGAAAACTATGAGAGTTTGTGCCCAGACTTTAATGTCCTAATTCCAATATGGTTTTGTAGCTCTGGGTCTATACTACACATAAATTCATATGAGGTTGATTTTTTTTTTTATTATTATTCAAAGGATGCCTAAGCTATTGGGCTGGCCTCTTGCTCCCCTAAGAGAAGAGCTTTGGTTTATTTCCAGATAGGTCAAGAAGTGATGACTGTCAAGGACAACTCCCTGTATCACTTTCAAATTTATTGGGGTTTCTAAAATTGGAAGTAAAGAAGCCGTATAAAATCTATCTAGTTATTTCTGGAGGTACAAGATTGCCTATTAAGACATCAGTTTAAACAATTTAAAAAATTGTAAAAAAAATAAACAATTTAGACATAAAGTTAAAAAGTAAAACAGATTAGCATAGTGAAATGATAGGGCCAGATGGACTAGTTTTAAGATCCTGGCATAGCTGTGTGACTTTGGGCCGGTGACTTTACCTCCCTGGATCTCAGTTTCTTTATCTGTAAAAGCACTTCATTTGCAGAATAATGCAAACATTAGAAATAGTATATATTATTCTCATGAATTAACTTAGCCTTATGAAAATATACAATGTATGTATTTAATATAGTAATAATGTAGTAATAAATACTATTATATTTCAAACAGCAGAATTGATAGTATAAAATACATCGTACTCATTTGATTCTCATACTATAACTATCTTTTAAAGTATATGTCACTTTTTTTATCTTGCTAATGTAAGGTATATAACCTGGATTCTGAAATAACTGCCAGGTTAAAAATCTAAGCTCTACTACCGAGTATCTGTGTGACTTGAACAAAACACATTACCTCTCACTGCCTCAACTTTCTTATTTACAATGTAGGGACGATAACATTATTTATCTCCTATTCCTGCTCAAGGGCACACAAGTATGAGATAGGAGAGCCAGGATTCAGATTCACTTGAAGCTGGCTCTAGAGCCCACACCCCTAGCCACTTTGTGTTGGCATCATTTTCAGACTTTTTGGGGGCCCTTTAATGATTAGAACACTATCATTTACAGAGACTAACTGATAAGCTTAAGGCTTAGGGCCTTTTGGTTTCTGTAAGTAAAAATAGTTAACAAAGTGGCAGCAGATCCAGGACCATTTATTTATGTTTTAGTAGATGTTGGTAAGGAATGACCAGAGCCATGGGGTGGATGGTCAGATAAACAAGATGGGCTTGATCTACTTATGAGAGCTCTGTTGGAAAAGATAAGATCTCCCAGGTGGATTTTCTTTATCCTGGTTCTGGCAAGATAACTTGAAAATAGCCCATACATTTCTTTTTCACTTCAAGCCCCTCTTAAAAAATTTTGGTTTGAAATTTGTACTATCCAAGAAGTGTAGTGGTACATCTTCCAAAAACAAACTGGCATGCTACTGTGGAACACCCAAGTGACACTTACTATAAACTGAAAACTGTGCATGAAATAGGAGAGTGTTGACCCTCTCCAAGAATGAGTTTTGGGCTAGGCCCTGGTTGTGTCTGGAAAAGGAGAAGTGATGATGCAAGAAGTAACAGTAAAGGGGGTACCTGGGTGGCTCAGTAGTTGAGCACCTGCCTTTGGTTCAGGGCATGATCCTGGGGTCCTGGGATCCAATCCCACATCAGGCTCCCCAGGGGAGCCTATGTCTCTGCCTCTCTCTGTGTATTTCTCTACCTATGTCTCTGCCTCTCTCTGTGTATCTCTCATGAATAAATAAGTAAAATATATTTTTTAAAGATTTATTTATTTATTCGTTCAGAGAGAGCAAAGAGAGAGGCAGAGACACAGGCAGAGGGAGAAGCAGGCTCCATGCAGGGAGCCCGATGTGGGACTCGATCCTGGGTCTCCAGGATCACACCCTGGGCTGCAGGCGACGCTAAACCGCTGCTGCTGCCCAAATGTTTTTTTTTTTTTTTTTTTAAAGAAGTAACAGTAAAGGATTTAAGGAAAAGCCTAAAGACTACTTTGCACACTTCAAAACATCTGGATTTCTAAATCACCTGTCATTGGGGCTCCTAGGGACAGGGATAAAGGAACAGAGGGTGGAAGGGAGCAATCACAACAACCCAGCAGAAAGAAATCTGGGAATGTCCCCTATCCTTTTCAATGAACAAGAACTCCTTATGAGCTTGTGGCCTCCTCCTCAGGCAAATATTCAGTGAAGATACTTGCAATATTGGCTTAGGTGGCATGGAGGGTATGCAGGTATGGAGAAGAGTGAAAGTGCTTTGCGGAGTTATAGGCTGCAGATTGCGTGAAAGTAGCACACCTAGTAGAGGCTCAGCACAGAAACCAGGAAAGTGATTTCTGCTTCTCTCAACAAGCCATGACTAATAACTATACTCACTTCCTCGTCGTACACTGATGATAGAGTAATGCTTTCATAATATCTATATGTAGCAATATACAGGTAATGCAGACTGTACAAATACGCAGATTGTATGCCCAAACCCAGGTGAGCAAAAATCGCTTCATTTTTTTTGAAGAACTTTGTTTCTATTAAGGGTTGTGTTTCCAATATGTAGTATGAACTTGATCTGAGCCAATCAAGTTTTCTTTCCTTGCCCTAAGATTGCATCGAACTTCTGAGAGAGGATGTTGGAAGTATCAAGACATTGGATGGGGTAGGGATGGGGAAAATGAGGGGAGCATAGATGTCTGTTGTGAATTATCTTCTACCAATGCCATTATCAACTGAAACATCAGTTCTAGTCTTTGGAAAGTCTTGCTCTGATCGGTGTCAGTCCATGCTACTCTTAGGCATGTGTGAGTTGGTTCTGCTCTCTACTATTACCTACTGAATAAATTACCTGTATAAAAGTCATTCATTATCTTAGCTCTGATTTCAGGAAGAACTAAGCTAAGGCATATCTTTAAAAATGAAAATATCAAAGTTTGGGCAAGGTCTTTGTTTAGCTATAGGATCAGCATTAAGAGGTTATGATTTAATATTAGCTCTTTTTTTGTGTGTGTGCTTTAGGCTCAAGAAGGCACAATATGAAAGGGATGGATCGTATTGGTAGTGGAATGAACAAATGGAAATTTATTGTATTGGTCAGTTTTGTTGGCTGCATGACAAACTACCTCAAGACTCAGTTGCTTACAAGTACTTATTCTCTTTTTTCTAAGTTGCCATGGTGACAAGTTCAACTTATTTAGGCAGCCCTCTTCTGGACAGCTCTGTTTCATGCTATGAGTTGGCTGGATTGTGTTCCAGAAGTAGATCTGTTTCATATAATTTGTTCTGAAAATAGGCTGTAAGGGCAATAGTTCCCTGGGGCATACTCTTCTCCTAGCACTACATCACTGTGAAGCAAGAGCCAAGCCAAACTGTACAAGCACATTGAAGGTCTTTGTTTGCCTCACATCCATTGGCCAAAACAAATCACAGGGTCAAGCTCAACATATATGGCCCAAGAAACCACTCGGTCCGCAGGGGCTGAGGGAGTGGGGTAAATGATATCATCATAAATGGTCAAACTAAAATAATTTTTCAAGAATTCCAGAAGAACTGTTCTATCTGGCTTTTGTCCTTGAAATCCAGCCATCTTCAAAGTCTACCCACTAGGAGAGCTGAAGATAGCTCTCTATTTTTTTTTAAATGCCCATTTGGTAACTTTTAGATTAACCATGTGCAGGCTGCAAATATAAATCCAAATACATACTAGGATAAACATTAATTCTTACATTTAATGTAAGAATTTCAAATCCATAAGGAAGAAAAGTAATATCTCCCTAACTACCTCCTAATTATCACAAGGCCCTCCTAGTGGAGATAATAATAATATCATCATTTATGACTCAGGAGAATGGAAAGGAGTCTGAGGGGAAAAGGGGAAAAAGCAACCCCTCTACAAGGAAGAAGTCAGATTCTGAAGTGGCGGGGTGGACATTCCAGCAATGGAGGTTTGAAGCAGGAGAGGAATGTGGGCCTGAGGATGGGGGATCAAAGTTGGAAGCTGGAAATTTCTAATGAAATGGCCTCTGGGGAGAGTTGAAGATTAAGCTACTGTATCTGGCCTATGAAGAAGTCATTTTTGATGAACTGTTGCAAGTCCTTTCTCTCACACATAGTCCCTTTAGCTTTTGTTTTTCTTTTTGCCCTCAACACTTCAGTGAGGGCTTAGTCATACAACTTTGGATGTTGTGAAAAAAGTAAAAGATTGAGCTATAGAGGAAAATGAAACATACTGAAGTAAATTTTTAAATTACCTATGAGAAAGCCCATTTTTCTCAAAAGGAATTAGCATCTTAATATAAACCTTCAACTTATCTTTTTTTACAGTTCATTTGGGAAACATGGTAAGAGAAGATCTTGTTTTTGTTGGAAACATGAGCTTTTTTCCTTTTTGACTTAGTGAGAAACCATTTATTCTTCTGAAGTATAAGCATATTTTACATATTCTGGTTAATACATCAAGTGTATAATGTGGGAATTCCCTTAAGAATGCTAAGACCACACATGTTAAACTCAGCTATGCATTGTAGTAAGCTATTAGACAAATGCCACTTTTAATATCACAATACATACATATTATACTTTTTTTTTCACCGACAGAGGAACATGCCTTTCAAAAATATTTTATTGGATGAAACTTTCTTATTCTCAGGAAATTTTTGGTTCTTTAATATAATTTATTATGCTTTTTAAAATTCTGATAAAAGCATTGGTACATTATAAATACCTGTAAAGAAAATAGAGTTTAAAATTCCGAGGGAAATATTATATAAGTTTCCTCTTTTACATTTTCACAAAAATCCACACAGGCACTAAGAAAGACTGACAAAAATATTTTATGCCTGAACAATATACTCCAGGTTGGAAACATTCAAACATGACTTTATTTAAATATTAAAGCTTTTCTAGAGTGAACCTTTGGCTACAATCCAATGAATTGGTTGGGGTTTTACCCAGGAAAAGATACTGTTAGAAGCATAAAAAAAGAAAGCTTCTTACAGTGAACATGAAAGTAGGAAAGGGGAAAAGATGAGTTTTTTTTCATTACTATTTCTTGGCCTCTTTGGGCCTAAGCTTTGTTATTTAATTGAAAACTTACCTAATAATTCTCTGGTCCTTTTTGGCTTTAATACTTTTTGATGTGCTACAATTTTCAAAATTCCGTCCAACACTCTGTATCAAACAACATGTGAAACTTTCAAGGGTAGAGTGATACTACAGCTCTTTTAGAGAACATTCTTGAAGCATCATGGGGATTGCTCTGCAAATACTTTCATTGTGCACAAATACAAATGGTAGGCTAGGAGGTGAAACTTGGTGAAACTTACCCACCACACTTCAAACCTTAGCAAGTGAAAGACTCTAGTGTTCCTTCCTGGTCTAGTTCAGTGTAGTTATCCTCTTGGTCTAGTTCATGTGTGGCATTATGAAGTTCTAACTTGATGGAAGAATTACAAACAGCAAATGAAATGGGGAAATGCCAGCATTATAGGTGGATGACTGGAGCCTTTGTGAGCACATAGAAAATGGGAAGCTGGGGGTTGGCAGTTAACAAATTTAATATAAATGAGCATCCAGGGGAGATGAGATTAAATGAGTATATCAAGATTTCAGAGGTACTTTCAAGGGTCTAAAATATCATTTTTCCCAACCCATAAGTTAACCAGATCATTGCAAGTCCTCATAGTTATTGATCATATCCTACCTGGAAGAAATAGAGGATTTTTTTTTCTCAATACAGTTATACTTTGTATGTATTTGTTTAGTGCAGCAGTGGGAAAAATAAATGCTTGTTGGGTGCTGATCAGTAAGGTAGCCTCTGTAAGCAACATGGAACAGGGTACCTCAGGGGCCTGGGACTCAAATCTAGCTGGGCAGCTACTATTCAACTCTGGCCAACTATTGCCATGAGGGAAAAAGGGTCTGAGAATCAAGTTTTACGTGAAATTTCTTATTTTCAGTTATCACTCACATTTTTAAATCATTTGACATGCCAAACAAAGTCTACCTGAGGGACATATGAGGCCTGTGAACCGCCAGTCTGTGTCCTCTTGAACTGACTATTGGAAGCAATTTGGTAAATATTTGAATACTATCAGCTGTGAGATTGGAGAAAAACCTTTAGTGGCAAGGAATGAACACTCAGTTTTAAAGATCCAGAAAAACCTGTTTGAATGAATACAATTTTAAAAACAAACAAAACCTCCCCTTGGCTCTTCCCATTATAATTATTTTCCTGTTTATATTGGTTCTCTGTGTCATGAGTGGTTTCCTGTTAGTATTGTTAAAAAAAAATATGACTAGGAATTTGCCAAGTCCCAAGTCTAAGTTTTATTCTAAGAAAGTAATATGAATTAGTTCTCAGAATTCAGTTTGTGACTGAGAAAGGACATAGGTAATGAGAACTTTCATTAGGGGAAACAGAGGAAGACCAGAACATACACAAGTCCTGGGCACCTTTAGAGCCATGGAGGCCTCTGCATGGCACACCAAGCAAAGAAAAATGTTCTAAAACTACTCAAACTGGGTAACACAGATTTCAAGGACTGTTTCTGGATCTAAATTACTCAGCTTCTCCCCTAAAGGACCAAATGGCCACTCCCTGAATGAGTAGTATGGTGGGGTAGGATAGCCAAGTGTATGGGTCTAATTGTGAACTTTTTTTTTTTCTTTTTTTCTTTTCTTTTCTTTTCTTTTTTCTTTTCTTTTCTTTTCTTTCTTTTCTCTTCTCTTCTTTTCTTTTCTTTTTTTTCTTTTCTGAACTCTTTCATTAGAAACTTTCCAAACCCTTTTGGGCATCACAGTTCAGAGAACCATGGCAAACACAGGGTTAAAGTTAGAGGAGCGGTTCCATTTGCAGATTACTTCTTCGAATGAATCTCTTGTCCAGATGATGCCTTTTCTTTTGAGAAATGAAATGGGAGGGCCCAAGGAGGCATTCTAATATGGTGTGAGGACCTTAAGCAAAATGAACTACGGCTCCAGAAAGAACTAAACATGTCACTTGTGCAGGCAGGGAAGATGTGATTTGAAAGAGTCACGATCAACTCAGGAAGTTGGGTTCTCTACTTGAGCTCATCCCTTTCATATGTCTAATTTAGGGAGGAAAAGCAAAAGTACCACAAAGGATATTAGAAGCATAAGAACCAATGGCAAAAACAACCACTTCAGACACAGGCAAAATCTAAGGGGAAGGAGGAAGCATGAATATTTCCAACTCAGGACCACACACTTATTTCAATTTTCTTCTCTCAGAATGTCCACCAGAGCTTGCAGCAGCCGGTCGTCTCTGTGCTTATAAGGTTTCGTGTTATAGAAAACATCAACATAGTCGCTATATAGATTGTCCTCAGAGTCTTTAAGTTGGGAAGGCTTGTTCAGCTTTTCCAGGGCTTCATAGAAATTTTCATAAGGGATGTTGAGCTTTGCACTGGGAGACTTCTTTGGTGATTGCTTTGGGGGTGAGTTTTTGCTGAAAGCACTTTGTAGGAGTCTGAGCATAGCCTCAGATGGGGCTGCCTCCACCAGCTCATCCCTTCTGCCCCCTGAACTGCTGCCACTGGGGCTTTTTGACTCGAGGGGGTTCTTTTTCAGGTTATCTTGCGTGGGCTGCTCCTAAAACACAAAATGCCACCGACAAAAGGAAGGAGATTAGTATTTAGAGCCAAGCAAGTCAGCTGCAGCACATGCCTTCTGCTTACTCCTAAGGAGATGGTTTGAGAAGCAGAGAGAGCATGGGGCTTAGAAAACATACTAATTTGGGTTTCAGTCTTCATTTTTGTACTAACTGATGTACCCCTGACACCTGTTTAATCTCCCCGAACTTCACCTGTAAAATGGCAACAAGAAATCTCTATTTCTGGTGGTTCTGAAGACTGAATGAGATGATGGATATAAGTGCTCATACCTATTGCTTTCCTTCACTTGTCGGCCTACTACAGTAGAGTTCATTTTAGGGACTTTAATAAACTTAAATTCATTAATTTTAATTTATAAATTCTGGAAAAAAAATAATATGGTTTTGTCCTATGGAAAGTAAATAGTTTCCAACTCCTACTCCCTTTCTCCCTGCCCATGTTTTGGGAAAAAGCTGATGTTAAAATATTTAATAACTCCTATAGAAGGCAGAAACAATGCTGCATGTGGAAGAGGTTTTCTGGAAGCCCCTTGTTCTGTCAGGAGCTACTCTTTCAGCCACTGAGGTTTTGAAAAAGGTCTTGGGAGAGATGGATGAACTGGGTAGAGCAGAACCAGAGATATCAGAGAGGCAGCTCTTTGTCAACCATTGTGGAAGTATCTCAACATTTTCACAACTACCAGGGCTTATTAATACCCCTTAAGGAATCTTGGAGGGAGAAATACCCAAAGTCAACTTGCCTCTGGGATTGTGAAGAGAAGGCCCTTGAGGTGGGGACCTGGGGGGAAGCTACTTTGCAGAATATAAATGGAGTCAGAATCTGAGCTGATGACTTCACACAGCTAGTTTATAAATTTCTTTTTTTTAAATAAATTTCTTAAACAAATATTATGTCTTTGTATCTTCTAAAATATCTATCACTGAGCCAGACTTCAGGAAATCTCATTCTGGGAATTCTGATAACCTATTACATCTGAGGCACTGTCCTAATGCTGGGGGATTAAGAGATAAAGAAAATGGGGTGCCTGTCCTTTGTCCGATAAGGGAGAAGCCAGCAGCCTCAGTAGGCTGAGACACAGGAATGGGAATGACTGACTAGTATCCTATGACATTTTCTCAGAGGAATCGTGATTCAGTAGCTTCCCTTGGAGCTGCCAAAAAAACGTCAGTTAAGGAATTAGTAAAGAGAAGTCTAGAGGCCTTGGTCATTTGAGCTTTGGTTTTCTTTCTGGAAAGCAAAAATACTAATGTCTGTCCTCTCTAGGTTACAAGAATTACTGATTAAATGAGACAAGGAAGAAAAACACTTAAAAACTCAGTGTATTACAGACGTTAGGCATGTGTGATCATGCATAAAGAGAGCTGTCTTTACAATTTGTTATGTCATAAATGGTGAAAAGTCATGTTAGAGAATTTCATAATTTTGAATTCATTAATTTTAACTTCTAAATTCTGGACAAAAGAATAAACTTAAAAAATAATAGCGTTTTATTTTACAGAAAACAGTTTAGCACTCCCCTTCCCTGTCCTCCCCAACCATGTTTGACTCCGTCCCTGCCTGAAAGTTAGATATAGTTCCCCTCACTACATTGTCTACTAAGGTTCAAAGAAAGGTGCATCAAAAACAGAGCCACACAGACCTCCCCCGGATCGACCATCTTCTCCACTCCTCTTCTGTCATTCTGAACGGTGTTGTAGGATGTGTATACACGAGGCTGTTTCATATGTTCTGGCTGAGAAGAAGTCCCATGCAAAATCAGCTTCCAGTTAACAATTCTTCCTTCATTCTGCATTCTTCCAGACTGATGAATAAGCATACACATAATTTTAGGGTGTGTTTTGAGAAACATCGAGCTCCTTAGAAATATCTATAAAATTTAACTTAAAAATCCAGTGCATTCCATGAGTAGAGCACCATGTACAAAGAAGCAAATCACTGGAGTCACTGTGGCCATGAAAATGGACATTTTATAGGTTCAAGGATTTAAAGACTGAATATTTGCTTCATTTGATTAAAAAAGGAAAACTCTTTATAAGAATGTTCTTTTCTGGGCAGCCTGGGTGGCTCAGCAGTTGAGCATCTGCCTTCAGCCCAGGGCGTGATCCTGGAGTCCTGGGATCGAGTCCCACATCAGGCTCCCTGCATGGAGCCTGCCTCTCCCTCTGCCTGTGTCTCTGCCTCTCTCTCTGTGTGTGTCTCTCATGAATAAATAAAATCTTTAAAAAAAAAAAGAATGTTCTTTTCTATTCTGTTCTTGGAAAGTTGACTGCACTTTCTACAAACAGAATTATACTTAATAATTATCAAGTTATAGAAACATTCCGGTAGGGGAGGGGAAAAGCCTCTGTTGAGTATTATGAATAGCCTTCAGTATTAATCAGCCCTTAAAACCTATGTATTTATGGAAAGAGCAATAATTTTTAAAGGCTCAACAATTATGCTAAAAATAATATGCTGAAATTAAAATATCTAAAAAATATATAAAGTGTAGAGTCAGATTTTACAAACCTGATATAAAATAGTCTCATCTTGATAAACAGATTTTCTTAGTTTCTTTAAAAATTGAGTTAGAGTGCCTGGGTGGCACAGTTAGTTAAGCATTTGACTCTTGGTTTGGGCTTAGGTCATGATCTCAGGGTGGTGAGATTTAGCTCTGTGATGGGCTCCACACTCTGTGAGGAGTGTGCTTGAGATTCTTTCCTCTCCCTCTGCCCCTCCTGTTCCTGCTTGTTCTTTCTCTCTCTCTCTCTCTCTCTCTCTCTCAAATGAATAAATAAACCTTTAAAAATCCGAGTTAAAGATCAGAGGCCAAGTTCAAGAATAGAACCACTTCCTAAGAATATTTTCTTGCTTTCCCTGTGGAAGTTGGAATTTTAGATTCTGGTTCTAAATCACAATTTTAGTAGTCTTTTTTTTATATGTATATAAGATTTTGTTTATTTATTCATTAGAGACACACACACACACACACACACACACACACAGAGAGGCAGAGACATAGGCAGAAGGAGAAGCAGGCTCCATGCAGGGAGCCCGACATGGGACTCGATCCCGGGACTCCAGGATCACTCTCTGGGCTGAAGGCAGGCACAAAACTGCTGAGCCACCCAGGGATCCCCAATTTTAGTAGTCTTTAGGAGAAAGCTATTCTCAAAGAAAAAAGGGAACAATGACTAAACAGTTTGTATTAACTCAATAGAAATCTTCAGGAATTTAAATTCTTTTAGAATAGTTATCCAGACTTTGAATCTGGTGCTGATATTTGTAACATTTCTATCTTGGGAAAGCTCAAACCCAGAGCCCTATTCATTTATGTGCTCAGCCTGGAGAAAATGCTGGAGAAAAGATGAAAAAGTAGATAATTCAGATGCTTTTGGCTTTTTGTTCAGACACTCCCTACTCTATTTTTATGACTGTGAGTTACAATTTTAGAAAGATATCAAAAAGAGTGTTAGTAAACAGAGTGAAAGAGAAATGAAAAATGCTTTTCAGTTTGTTGCATAACTGAAACAAAACAAAAAAGTCATGTTAAAGGAGATAGCTTGTCTAATAAGTAAATAGCCACTGCAGTAAACATTGGTAAGAGTTTGTGTGACCCCATCAGAAGGTCATAGCAAAGCTGTTGTAGTATTTATCTTTGTGGCTACAGGGGATTCTGGTGGCTAAGCAGGTCATGTGGCTGGCTGCATTCTGACATTAGAACACTTGGACTTACCACACTATAATATTATTAACCAGTGTGTCCTCTTTTCTTGGTTTACTAGTACCATTTCCTAGTTTTCTTATAGTATGGCTTATTTATTTATTCATTCAGTCAATTCAATTAATTTATAAAGCCAAGTGGGCAGAGATTGAAACACTACATTTTTTCCTTACTTTTACTAGGGAATAACCAGAGTTCCTTAGGTCCTTTATTAATGATGATACCATACCATACCATACCATACACCTTAAAAGTGCTTCAAAATGCTTAAAAGTGAGCCTGTGTTCCTATATCTTTTCTTTTTCTTTCTTTCTTTTTTCTTTTTTCTTTTTTTTTTTTTTTGCTTTTTGTTCCTATATCTTTTCATTTATACTTACCACGTCTGTAATTCGCAAGGTCCAGGTGCCTATGGGATTCTCTCCCCAGGTGTGAACGGACATAAAATCCCAGTTTTTGAAGCCATTAGGAGATGTATCCCTCTCTCTTTCAGCCAACAGTACAGTGGTGGTCCCTATTTTCATGCGAAACATACCAGTTAATGAATGTCCTAACAACTCTGAGAATATGATATACTCTAGCATCTACTAACTGAAAATGAAAAATGAGAGAGATTAGCCTTTCTAATTTACGATTTTTATATAAGACCAGGATAGAGACATTCATAAAAAAAATGTTGTTACCCATAGCAATTAGCATATTGCCTGGCATATAATTTCTCACTAAATATTTTGGCAAAATATTAGATGAATATATTAAGGTTTATCTGAATAAGGAGAACTCCTAGAACCACATTTACAAACTATAGAGTCAAAGACCTAAAATACATTTTAGCGCAACTATCATTTGAAATTTAAGTGGAAGTCTTTACAATTTAACTGGTGCCTGAGCCTATAATTTAGTGTAGACATAAAAAAAAATAAAGCTATATCAATTTAATAATCTTTTGTCATAGAGACTAGTAGTAGTTGTTAACTCTAAAGTTTCAAATTCAAGCTCTCTATAGATCTAAGTGAAAGGGTCAAGTGAACACTAGGGCCACCAATGAGAAAACATTCCCCCCTTATTTCAGACCAACTCCAAGATATCTAGAAAGCATAACTCCAAAATTAACAGAGTTCAGTCCAAACCTCTAGGAAGTTTATATCCTGGAAGATGATAGAGCTCATCTTTCCTCATGATCACCTATAAAAATTGAACTTAGTCAGGTGAATTCTACTAAAACATGAAGGAGTATTAGGAATCATTTCCTGGTTGGATTATAGTTTATGGTTCACAAGCCCTTCCCCATGCATGATCTCCTCTGAGTTAGTGCTTTCTCAGGAAAGGCCAATTGACTGTCTATCATACCATATGGACTTTACAATATCATCATGGAATATTTGTTAAGTTTTCCCAATCCTCTTTCATGTATCAGAATTCTAATTTTTCACTGATTCCTTGGATGTGTCTGATATATCTGTCAGTGTTATTATCAGAGTAACTTTCACTAATGCGTTACTTAAGAAATCGATGATAGATCAGTGATCTGGGAAAATGAATACAGTTTGAAACTGTGTATCTCCAGAAAGGTTTCTTAATTGATATTATTTAAATAGACTTCATTCTCTGCTTATCTAAGAACCAATGGGAATGAGTGGGCCGAGAAAAAATAAGCCTATCTTTTAAGTCCTGAAAAATATCTATTGGGAAACTCAGTCATAAATTTTTTTTAAAAATCATTGATTTAAAGTCAGTCAATATACTCTTAAAAATTTAAACAAATGATTTAAAATAAACTTTTGAAGTTTGTGAAATCTTACCAGCAGCAGAAGTGAGTGTAACATGAAGGTCTCCTCTTCGGGAGTATTCAATTGTTGCTTCAAATTGCACATGTTCCAGGGACTTGATGGCATTTTCTTGTTCTTCACAAGCTCTTGTTGGAATTTCAATGATAACTTCTCCATTACCTTTCAGAGCTCTAAATACATTTTTAAAAATCACTGGATAAAGTATGTCTTTTCTTCTTTGCATTCTATGCAAATATACACACATTAGTTTTGACTAGATACTTAAGTAAGCTTGTTGTTGCTCCCTCTTAATGAGTAGAACCCAATTCAGAAGCTATAAATAAATCTTAAAGTGTAAAAAATGGTAAGACTTTCACAGAAATACAAATAAAAAGTTCTACAATTTTTATGGATCACAAAAATACTACAAATAGCCGAAACAACCCTGAGAAAGAGGAACAAAGCTGGAGGTATTATACTTCTTCATTTCAAAATATTTTTCAAAACTACAGTAATCAAAACCGTATGGTACTGGCATAAAGAGACATATAGACCAATGCAACAGAATAGAGAACTCAGAATTAAACTCATGCATATATGATCAACTGATTTTCAACAAGGATGCTAACAGTACTCAATAGGGGAAGAGGAGTCTCTTTAGCAAAGAGTGCTGGGAAAACTGATATCCACATTCAAAATAATGAAACTGGACCCATATCTAATGCCAGACATGAAAATCAACTCAAAATGGAGTAAAGACTTCAATATAAGACCTGAAATTGTAAGTCTACAAGAAAACATAGAGAAGAAGCTTCATGACATTGGTCTTGCAGTGATTTTACGGTTAAGACACCAAAAGCATAGGTAACCAAAACAAATGGGAATACATCAAGCTAAAAATCTTCAGCATAGCAAAGGAAACCATCAATCAAATTAAAAGACAACCTACAAAACAGGAGAAAATATTGCAAACCATGTATCTGATAAAGGGTTAATCTATAAAATATGTAAGGAACTTCTACAACTCAGTAACAAAAAAAAAAAATTAAGAACGACTAAAAAATGAGCCAAATACTTAAATAGACATTTCTCTAAAAAAGACATACCCATGGCCAACAGGTATATGAAAAAATGTTCAACTTCACTAATCATCAGGAAAATGCAAATCCAAACACCCGTCAGGATGGCTGTTACCAAAGAAGCCAAAGACAAGTGTTGGAGAAGACGTGGAGAAACTTGAACCCTTGCATAATTGGTGGGAATGCAAAGTGGTACAGCCACTATGGAAAACAGTATAGAGGTTTCTCAAAAAATTAATAAGAGAACTACCATATGATCTAGCAATCCCACCTTCAGATATTTATCCAAAATAATTGAAAACAGGATCTTGAAGAGATCTCATGTTCATTGCAACACTATTCACAATAGCCAAGATGGGGAAGCAACTTAAATGTCTATCAACAGATGAAAGGATAAAAGAAAATGTGGTATATACACATGATGGAATATTAGCTTCTTTTTCTTTTTTTTTAAAAGGATATTCTGAAATATGCAACAATATGGATAAACCTTGAAGACATGCTAAGTGAAATAAATAAATCACAGAGAGAAATACTGCATAATTCCACTTACAAAAGATATCTAAAATAGTCAAATTAATAGATTCAAAAAGAAGAATTATGTGGGGCTAGAGGAAAGGGCAAATGGAGAGTTACTAATCAATGGGCATAAAATTTCAGTTAAGCAAGATGAATAAATTCTGAAAATCAACTGTACAACAACTATACTTAGAATCAACAATAATATATTGTACACTTAAATATTAAAGAGGATAGATCTCATGTTAAGTATTTTTACCACAATAAAATAAAATAGAAAAGAAAATGGTAAGGAAAACAGATATAAGAATATAATGCTTATTGCTAAGGAATTGAATTCAAGCAGGTTGGCCTTGGAGCCATTAAAAAGTGGACCATTACTCCAATCAAATCTCTTAAGAAATGATATTATCTCCATAATGAATATTCCCCAGGGCTCCCACCCTTAGATATTTTGTGAGAGGGTCTTTAGTAAAATCATGGTTTCCTTGATAGAATGACAAAAACAGTTATACCATATTCTGCTTCTGTGGCCTGATCTGGTAGGCTGGATGTGGTCTATGTAAAAGCAATATGCAGAGGGTACTTCACAGAAGAGAAATCATGAATCACATAGTACTGTAGCATGAAGTGAGGCCTTTCTATTTTTTTAAAAAAGATTTTATTTATTTATTCACGAGAGACACAGAGAGAGGCAGAGACACAGGCAGAGGGAGAAGCAGGCTCCATGCAGGGAGCCCGACGTGGGACTCGATCCCGGGTCTCCAGGATCACACCCTGGACTGAAGGCGGTGCTAAACTGCTGAACCACCTGGGCTGCCCCAGTGAGGCCCTTCTAGAAATAATTTTGGATAATACTGGTTGGCAAGTACTACATTTAATCAATTCTAAGATGCATTTTAAAAAATAACACCTTTGAATTTGGGATTAATCTTAAAACTGATGGTAATAGTGTAATTGGCAGTGATTTTCTTACTAACATATAAAACGATACATCTTAAAGTGAATACAGGTAGGCTAGGAAATGGAAAAATGGAAATATGCTAACATGATTTGCAGATTTTTGATCTCTCAGTGATTCCCATGGACTCACAGGGAACGATGGTAAATGCTATTCCATCTACTTCAGAAGGGTAATTGAGAAAAAAATAAGGCAGAGTGACACATGTTATGATCAAATACTGCCATGGGCACACACACCTTTAAAGTTCCTGAAGACACTTACCTGGGCTCAAAGTTATTGTCCTTAACAACACACTCTTTCTTCTCAGGCACACTGGTCCAGGTCCTGGGATCAGCTAAATCCACCAGAGCTTTGGCATTTAGCAACCCAAATCCGAATCGACTATTCACCATCAAGCCTGCTCCATTCTTTTTCCATCCAGGGTTATTGGCCAATGGATCATACTCAGAGGTCCAGACAACCAAGTGCTGCATGTCTCGCCACGTGAGATTTGGACTGGAGGGGAAGTGGCCCAAAATGTTTTTTCAGAGACAAAATGATGTTTCCTTGTAAAAGTAAGTGATAAAAACAAGCATCTTCTATTTATAGATTATGCAGTGCCTTTTGTAAGTATACTTATGTAATTCTAGTATGTATTTCTTTCAGAATGTCTTTTTATTCAGAATTTAAAATACAGTACTGAAAACTTCTCCCATGTAAGCTCCTACTCTGAGTAAAATTTGCTCTTCAATATTGTAGAAATGTGAGAGTTGGTCCCTGATTTTTAATTATTTAAATTTAAGTGGAACAAAAAGTTTAAATGATAACACTTCCTTTGTGTCTTTAGTCTTCCAACTGTCTGTTAACAGCCTTGGCACTTTGAACATTATGTGCCCACAGATGAGGCTTTCAATTTTTCTTAGAGAGACTCAGATTTTAAAGACACAATCTGGTTGCCTATTCTTAAATACTTTTGCCTCTTTTCCTTATAAATAAAATTAAGAGTACACTTATCTTGATGAACACGAGCAATATATGAAACGATTGAATCACTACCTTTTACCCCGGAAGCTCATGTAACATTGTATGTTAACAACACTGGAATTAAAATTTGAAGCAAACAACTTATCAAGAAGCTCTTAGCTACTTGAGATCACTCTTACAAGGTACAATGCTGAATACTTTGGGGACATGGAAGGAAATGGTTCTTGTCTTTAAGAGGTTTACAATCCAGCAAAGGAACTAAAGCTTTTTATAACTACGGTGTATCTGTTGAATGCTACATTCAGGGAGTAATGTATTACAGGAATTTAGAGGAAGGAGAACTCTGGAGATGGAAGATGTAGGAAGAAAGCTTTGCTGGAAGGAAATTTCTGTCTGAACTTTGAAGATTGGGTTGAATGTCAGGAAGTAGAGAGAGATGGAAAAAGGAGAGGGCAAGAGAACAAAACCTACAAGGGGTAAAGGATAGGATGTAGCCAGAGAGTACAGTGAGGCGTCTAGTTTGTGGGAGCAGGGAAAAGGTGAGAGAGTACTGAGCCAGATGGTGAGGACTTGGCACACCAGGGAAAGGAGCTTATACTTTATCCCTTGGCAAATGGGGAATCAAGGATTTTTGAGCAAAGAAATGGTACAATCAGAAGTCTTGGTAAGATTAGTTTATCAGCAATGTAAGATATATCAGAGATACACGGGATTGTTGGGTCTATTAAAATGAAGATGCAGCCTTCCCAGATCACTCTATTTAAAATTTCAATTCTCCTTGTGAACTCCTGAGCTCCCTTATCCTGTTTTGCTTTTTTCTTTTATAGTCCTTATCACCTTCTAACATACTGTGCAACTCACTTGTTTTGTATATTATTAATGTCTGCCTCCCCTGCTAGAATTAGCTGTAAGATGGGCTGAGATTGTTATTTATCTAATTCTCTGATGTGTACCATTGAGAAGAATGCCAGGCACAGGGTATATGCTAAGTTAAACATTGGTTGGTTGAATAATTGAATGTGCCTAAGTATTAAATGGCCCCAATAATTTTAAAACTTACTGCTATTAGTCATTAGATTCTTTCAAGATCACAAGTTTTCCCTTAGCTTTGAGACATGTATTGTTTCTATCAAGCCAATCAAGCATTTTTTTAATAGATAAATACTCAAGTGTTTAGTCTTCGGGTTTTCCATCTTAGCACTAAGTTGTGTAACAACCATCAGGGGAATCTGGCTCAATTTGCTATCTTTCCCCAGAGCCCAGAATGTACTGGTTAAACAATCCCCTTGTGACAAGAAAGAGGCAGCATACATTCTTAAACATTGAGGAATCTGGTCCCTGGTTAAAATCCCACATGTGATTTTCAGATCTCTTTAGAGGCATGACAAAGTGTCTACCTGGCAGGCAAGTAGTTTCCCATAAGGGAAACTGCCCTACCCACACCAACCTGGGTGCCGAGCACATACATTGTGATCTCTGGAAGGAGTTATCATTAAGGTCTCAGGTCCCCTACCTGGGCAAGCTCTTCCCATGTTTATGTTCCCATCCCTTGTGCTTTCATTCCTAGGTCTCCTATCTGAGATGGTGGGCAGAGGTCTTCTTTAAGCCTCTGGCCTCTGCCCATGGCTGCCTTATAGGGGGAAAAGGAGGAAACCTTGAAGACAGTTTTACCCACTCTGATTCAGTACAGAGTACCTTCCTCTCAACCTACATTCTTGCCCCACCCCCACCCCAGAGTCAATAAAACTAGCAGGGCCTTAGGTTGAGTTTCCTTCAACAGTGATGTGACGCCCCATGTCTGTGCTACTTCACTCCCCTTCAACTGGTGCACTCTTCCAGTTGTGCACCAACAGTTCTTTCACCCGGGGAAAGTGGAATGGAGAAATCGCATTTTCTCTGATTTTTGACTCTTGCTTAAAACATTGTAGTAAACAATTAAATTGATTTTTTAATTTATTGCTTTAACTAGCTATTCTGATATCTGGCAGCTTAGTTCTCTCTTTCATCTCAGCTCCTGACAAACATAACAACGCCGGTGAGTGACTGATGGAGTGCACAGAAAGACTATAAGTCAGTGATTCTTATGGGTCCCAGACAGCCTGCCTCATAATTTAGTGAAAATTCCTAAATCCCACCCTAAATCTATTGTATCAAAATGAGGGCGGGGCATGAATTTTATATTTATATTTCAACAGACTGTCTAGCCAATTCTCTGCCATAGCTAAAATAGTAGAAGTTGGGGATCCCTGGGTGTCTCAGCAGTTTAGTGCCTGCCTTTGGCCCAGGGCGCGATCCTGGAGTCCCAGAATTGAGGCCCAGGATCGAGTCCCGCATCGGGCTCCCGGCATGGAGCCTGCTTCTCCCTCTGCCTGTGTCTCTGCCTCTCTCTCTCTCTCTCTCTCTCTCTCTCTCTCTGTCTAAAATAAATAAATAAATAAATCTTTAAAAATAATAGTAGAAGTTGGAATAAGGCATACAAGCAAATAACCAATTCAGATAATTAGAAGTTATTTCAGATCATGAAGTCAGAATAGGGAGTAATAAACAGAAAGCACAACAAACCCTATTCTACTACCAAAGACCTATGTGATCTTCAGCAAGTCACTTCATTTCCTTGGGCCTGGGGTAACTCCTCTGTAAGTTGAAAGGGTCGAGTATGATAATCTTCAGAATTCTTTACAATTCAGACCTTCTATCTGCCCAATATCATAAATACCTCATTTAGATTGTGTTTCTATATTGGCCAACCCACATTAGGGAATAATTAACTAGCTTAGCAGAAATGGCTATTTTCTCATTGCAGAAACTAATTCTGTTCTATAAAGCATTTTACTGAAATCCTTGCTTCCTTCTAGTTTTTTTAAATCAAGTTTTAGGTAAAAGCCTCTTATCGATGTAGCCAATGGGAAATACACCAATTTCCCATTTGAACCATCACTGTAAGCAGGTGTATATATGGAAGCTGGAAAGAGGAAGTGGTATAACTCAGGGTTATAATAAACACTAAGCATAGATTTTCTATAGCAGAACATTTATATTTAGTTGTAGGTTTTTTTATTTTTATTTTCTTTTACCTATTCTTTGCAAAATATTCAATGGAGCTTCATTGTCACGCAATTAGGAAAATTAAGCTTGTTTTCCTAACAGAGTTATTCTTCATTTGTGAGATTGCATTTCATAAATGAAAAGGAGCCGCTAACAATAGCGCATCTCATTCCTGACAGCCTTCCTTTGTTAATTAGTGCTCAACAGCATTCACAATAATTAAATTTTTAAAAACTGCATCAGGTTGTTAATCAAGGATATGTTTATAGAAAATAAGGGTTATGGAATTAAATGTTGAAATTAAGCATTGCTTCTAATTAGTGAAGGTAAAGTAATCTGGAGACAAAATTCTAAAGTGAAAAACTTTATAGGCTATCTGGTTCGGCCTCTAAATATATGTAAGTAAGCCTAGATATTAAAGACTTTGTAACCAGGAGACTTTCCAACATTTCACTTTCCAACTCTGAGTCAGGGATTTCTTTGATATGCTTTATCCAAAGGTTTTATGCAGCATTGAAGTCCTATTTCCCTTCCTCTAGCCTTTCACGAAAACAGAAGATTGGTTCATCTGTATGTTTAATACTTCCAGAGATGTAAAGGAATTCAATGTTTTACTTCAGATATTTTGTTCTCTTAGTACGTACTCTAATTCTTTTTCTTCTCCTCAGAAGACTGAGGTAATTGCTTGCTGTCTTTCTTAGGTATACTGACTGCTTGACAATAATGGTGCCAGAGGCATTAGTCCAAGGAATTCCTGTCTCTCATTATTTTATATGTGTGTGTGTTTAATGACTATTAAGTATCTATTGATACTATTGAGTATCTTTACAAACACAACTGGATGAGGTTATAGGAAAACCTCTTTATGGCAGTTGTTTCTCAAAATTTAAAGGTACTAGCTGGGCTACTTATTAAAAACAGGGTTTTCTAGGCCAAATACCAGATACTTATGAATCTGAGTTGCTGACATTAGAATTTGGGAATCTGTCTACTAATTAAACTCCTAAGGTGATTATGCATAATCAGGGGAAGGGAAAGTATTCCTCTATACATATTTGAGCCAGAAACCATTCTTTCTCTTTCCTTCTCCTCTTCCCATTCCCTGGTATTCCAGCTATGTCTTTTTATTATTATTATTATTATTTGTTTATTCATGAGAGACAGAGCGGGGAGGGCAGAGATAAAGGCAGATGGAGAAGCAGACTCCATGCAGGAAGCCCGATGTAGGATCAAGCCCTGAACCAAAGGCAGATATTCAACCGCTGAACTACCCAGGCATCCCCCAGCTATGTCTTATTTAACGTAGCATAAGTAACCTGCTGTACAAGGAACCTTTTATGAAAAACTCAGGGGCACATGAGTTATGGTGGTCCTCTATCAGCATCAATCTTCTTAACCCCCCTGTCTTGGAGGGGATGACAGACTGCCACTGAACATCTCCTCTCCCTTGCAGGGCTGTGGGAGGCGGTATGGTATGGTATGGTATGGTATGGTATGGTATGGTATGGTATGGTATAGTATAGTATAGTATAGTATAGTATAGTATAGTTATAGTAGCTGATAGCACAGCTTTGAGGTCAGACGGATCTAAATTTGCATCTTTGTGGGATCTTGGTTACATTTCTCAACCTCTCTAAGCCTCACTTTCTTTTGTAAAATGCAACTAGAAACTTCTTTGTCACAAGACTGCTGTAAGGGTTTGAATTAGTATTGTACACAAAGAGGTTAGCGCCATGTCAGTCATAGTAAGAACCTGACAAATACTGAATGTTATTATTCTTGATAAATTTAGCCCACAGTTGTTCTTCAGTCTCCATAGTTGTTTTTTGAGCAGCATTTGGTTCAATGATTTCTCCCAATCTTGATTATCTAGGGGCACTTTTAGAAATACTGGCATTCAGAGTTTGAAATAACCATCTCGGTATAGACAATTGAATAGAGTTCAGAAAACTGTCTCTTTGAGAACAGACACTTCAAGAATTTCCATGTACTTTGGCAGGAAGTATATAAAATGTAAGCTAGATTATGTCTATCTTACTGATGATTGAATCAAAAGGAAAGGAATTAAATTCTTTTTATATGTACTAGGGAGATCATGGATTCTTGGTATCTCTTAAATCATGAACAGTGTGAGAATCTGATAGACCCAACAAAACATTCCTTCAGAAAAATGTCACACAAACACCAGCAATTCTGCATCTAGTTTCAACGATGCTCACAAACTTCTGGAAACTCATCTATGTTATTTCATAGCAATCTGTGAAGCTCCTGCTTTAAAACTAACCTATTAAAAATTAACTGACGTTGATGAGGCTAGATCATTCTTCTGTCATTTTCTCCTTGCACAGAAAAAAGCTTGAAATTTTAGAAATCAGAGGTTACAATTTTAAATTTTCAGCTCTTACATGAAGTTGATATCACATCTATTCAGTGAGACAGGTTTTTCTATTATACTGGTCACTAGACAAGGATGGCTTAGGCCTGACTAGTTTTATTTACGTGCATCTGATAGGTGTTGGGTAGACAAAACTTAAAATTTTAAGGATTTTTTTCAGCTTCCTAGAACTAACAGTTATATCCTCAAATCATAAATATCATAGGACTGTTGTACTACTTGTGTGAAACTGCTTGCCTTCGTTGAACCTTATTTTCTTCTACTCTGGACTCTGCACCACCAAACTCAACAATTCATCTTGGATTACTTTTATTTGCTGATACCTTCAATTTCCAATCAGTCTTATAAAGGGAAGAAGTTTGGGGAAAAAAATGATCTGACCCCTCAATTTTATAAATGGTAAATTAAGCCCTCAGTTGGAGATTAATTTGCCTAAGGTCACCTAGCTAGTGATATGCCTAGAACTTGGAGCCCTATGTTACTTGCACTTTTGAGTGTTTAGATTATTTTTCTAAACATTTTTAAAAGCAATTTTCTAATCCAAATTCAAGGATCTGCTGATGCCATTCTCACCTTTTGTTCCTAGACTCTGCCCCCTGTCCATTCTCTTCCTGTTACAAGTGAACTCAGATTCTGAACGTAGCTCTTTTGCTGAGCCCCAGGGCTTACCAGATATCCTCCCAGCCCCTCCAAGTAGGTAAATTCTTGGTACAAACCTCTGGGCCTATCTTTCTTAGCCACTGTGGCCATCCCATAGCTGAAATACCAGGACCAAACTACAACTCCACAGGCAGCCCCAGGGGCTCTTGGACCTACATTGGACTCTCCAGAACAAAGACTTAGCAACTTCAGGGGTTTTCCAGTGGTGGCACAGGCCAAGGTGTTCTACTTTTCTACTATCATGAACCTTGTCTACTGAATATTGCATGAGGGGAATGCTTTGTTCTCTCTCTCTAGAGAATATAGATGGTCTTCTAGGATAATCTTCTTCTTAAGAAAGATAATAGTAACTTACAAATTTAACCACCTTCTCTATCTCGCAACTACAGCACCTAACTTGATGTTTAAAGTTTTCTTACCACCAGAAAGCAGAAGCAAATAAAAAGCAGGACAAATAAAAAGCTGTGGATACACAATGTGCAGCAGTTAGATTTTTTTCCCTCTGTGTTAAGAGACTATTGGGTAACCCATATGAGGGAAAAATATTGTAAAAACCCTTTTTAACATTATACACTAAAATTCCAGGGGGATTTAGAACTTAAACATCATAAAGTAAACATAACAAAAGACATAAAAATAAGTGTTTATCGAATTTGGGGTTGTAAATATTATTCTGAGTGTGAAAGCAAAGGAAAACGCCTTAAAGAAAAGCACAACGAATATAACCATATACGTACTAACTTCACCACAATAAAAATTACATATAAATAAAATGAAAAGGTAAATGTCAAACTAACCAAGCATTAATAGCTTCTCTATACTAAGGCCATAAAACAAAATCAAGGTCATAAACGAGCAATCATAGATGACAAATGGCCAAAGAATATCAGATACTGAGCTTCATTAGTAGTGAAATGAAAGCATATAAAATTGAGATGCCATTTTCCCCTATCAAAATAGCAAACATTTAGAAGATGATAAAAGTAACTTTGGTAAGGAAACTGGCACTTTCACACATTCAGTGTTGATGGGAAAATGATATAATCTTGCTAAACAGTAACTTGTCAATATGTACCAAAATCATTAAAACATGCACTCTTTGACTCAGAAATTCTAATCAGGGGTGTTTATCCTCAGGAAATTATGAGAGATGACAATTGATATTTATGGACAGAATGGGTATTTAAACATGATTCAATGACTTTAATATAATTTGCATTTATATAATGGGATACTACAAAAGGATAAAAATTCTCTTTTTAGTTCTCATGCCCTCTGATATGTTAGATCAGCTCTGGGACTGGGCTTATATAATCTGAGGGGGGTGGGGAAAAGAAGGAAGTTCTATAAACTTGTTCCCAATACTACCCACAGGAAGTTATCTGGATGAAGTCTTTCCTGCTGGGAATAAACAGAAGTGAAGAGGCCTTGCAGCTGAGTGGGAGGGAAGTTGGGAGGAAAGCATGAATTTGTAAAGGTCAGGGAACATTGATTTAGCCAAGAGAAAGTGCTCTTAATAGATTATAGGGTATATTTTAAAAATTGCAAGATAATGGTTATGCTAAGTTTCCAATTTTGTAAAATTTTGCATGTGTGTTAGATCTACATTGAGATGTTAATAGGAAGAGAGCTTATTTTTGTTTTTTTGGTTTTTTTTTGTAGTTTCCTAAGTTTTCTATTGTAACCACAATTCAGAAGACAATAGATGTTAATAGGAAGCAGGAGAGGCAGTCAAGGTGATTAGAAATTTCCTGGGCCTTACTTTGCTTCCAGAGCCAGGGCGAAGATGCCAGCAGCCAGGGGTGCAGAGGCCGACGTGCCCGTGTGGGTCTCGGTGCAGTCATTGTGCAGGTCGGCGCTTGTCTGGGTGGCAAACGGAAGGAAAGAAATGCAGGAGAACGTGTGAGGAGTGTGCCCCTGTCCCTGGGGGTTAACCAGGGGCCGCATCTGCTCCGGTCAGGAATCTCAGCTGATTCCCTTCCCTACTTCCTCCTCTAAAACCCAGGCGGATGTTTGCCATCTGCTGATATTTTAGTTCACTCTCCTCTACATGCAACTTGTCTATAATTCTGGCATCAGGCTGCCTTTTCTGGGGATGAAGTACTCCCACTATGAATATTTTCTCTTCTGAGATTCCCAAACGAAATGCTGTCTGTGAAGAAGGGACAGTTTCAAAATCACTGTGAATCATGCTGGCCCATTAATCATCAGGTCCATTGTGTTTAGTCTGGCATATTTAGAAATCCTGCCTCATGCAAAATTCCCTTTCACCTTCGGATTAACATTTGACTGCCTCCTCAGCACAAGGATGTAACACCATCTGATGAGGAGTACTCGCACAAAATGTGTTCAGTGTGTATTTTGCACTTGCTGTTGACATAATTTGATGGCCATGGGTTAGTGTCCATATTTGCACTTGGGTGAGAATGGTATGTTTTTTGTTTTGTTTTGTTTTTTGTTTTTTCAAATAAAAAGTGTGCTAGATTCTGATCTGGTTTCAAATTGTAAAAACTCCTCAGTAAATGTGTCCCATGGACATGCCACTTGGTTTCCCCATCTGTAGAATGAGGTTGACATTTCCTGACTCGTATTCTGAGGCCAAAATGAGATCCTATCTGTGAAAAAGCATTCTTATGCAATATTACTGCACATAAGGAATTACCCAGGCTAATTTTAGCTTAATGAGGAGGTTGCCAAGACTGAAGGGAGGAAACCAAAAAGACTTCCAATCAGGCTGCCTTAAGGACCCCCGCGGTGCTGGTTGAGCAAGCAGTCGGGCCAGAGGATTTCTAACAAGACACCCACCCAGGTTCCCGCATGATCATTTTTAGCTAGAGATTTCAATGTGTGGGAGGGAGGTGTAAAAAAATAATTTGTTCTATTATCACCTCCTTTGGCTTCCCACTTGGAGTCGCTGAATTTCGCAAGTTACGGTGGCACGGCTCCTTAGAGGGTTGCGGAAGCCAGGCTGCCCTTTCTCCCTACTGACGCACTAAGCCCCAGAGCTGCCTGAGCCGAGGTTTGCGTAAGACAAAAGCTATGTTATTGCAAACGTCTCAAATAGAATCTGCCAGCTGGCTCTCCTGTGGCTGGTGTACCTAGGGAGGGATCTTCACAAGGATGGAAACTCTTCATCCATGGCAGCTCACAAGAGGGACAGAAATGCTGACCGAGATGCCAAACGGGCCTTTTTCTGGAAAACGACTCTGGATACCCCCAGGGACAAGAGCAACCTGGGACTCTGAATGCAAGGGGGACACATGCCTGATAGGCCTCTTTCAAAGGCTCTCAAATAGGCCTGCCCTAAAGAATTCCTGGGGGGAACACTATTATTTGAGTAATTGAATATAAGGGCCTGAGAGGGAGGCCAGTGCTTTTAAGCTGAGCCTAGGGTTTTAACGTTTAAACTGGTGTTAGTTGCAGAAACAGGCAGTGTTCCAGTATAGTGATCTCGTATAAAAAGGAGTACTGACCTTTTTTTTTTGTTTTGACGTGCCATTAATAGGAATTTTACACACATCCCAATATCTATTATGGGGTTCACCCACACTCTAATTGGATCATGACCTATTATTATTCTGCTGAGATTACAGTCTGCATACTTTAGCCAGTTGGTTCTTTCTGTATCAGGAGTTAAATTGGGGGCTATACGTTTTAAAATTAAGAGTACCTCTCTTTGTTCTCAGGGGCCCCGAATGGCCCTTCATCATTGTGCCCTTGAAGGGAAATCCAATAATTGCCCTTGGCAGTCTGACTCACGTAAGTGAAGGCACAGCCAAGTGTGGGCTGGAGATTCTCTGTGAGCACATAACCTTCCTGAGCTGTTTATTCAGACGCTGAGAAGTCCATCTCGGGGAAAATTGAGATGGTTATTTTCCTGCAGGTCATCCGTTCTTAGGAGATGTAGCTAGTATATGCTCTGTATTTTTATCATCTGCTAAAGGGCAAGTCAGACCATATCCCTGCTATTAAAGGATCAACAAGTTACAAGGGTGGTAAACCCTGAAATCTCCGTTAAGGCTATTTTCAGGGAGGCATCACACAAGCGGGAGAGACTTCTGGATTCTTGGCTGTGTGTAATGACAACTTAGTGGCTTCTCAGGGCTGAGTTTAAAAATGACAGAGGCGCAACATCTTCTTGGCAGAGGCGTCATTATCCTTGAGAGAGAAGCCTTCCCAACGTATGCCAGCCTTTCAGGTTGAGTACAGTGTGAGCCTTTCTGAGTCATCAAGCTTAAGCAAATCAATTTTACCAAAGATACTGACCAAAGGATCTTGTTGAACACAAGCCACGCTCTCCTACCCAAGCAGAGGAGTTAAACAAAAGCAACATACGATTCGCTGGTCGGTGTAATCCCCGCTGCTGTATGAGGTGGCCAGGGTGGAGGAGCACTTCTCGGCGTACCAGGGCGACAGGCCTTGCTGCGAGGCGCTGCTGATGGAGATGGTGTAGATGCTGTCCGTGTAGCCATCGCAGTCACAGTCATCCCCTTGACGCCCCCCGTTCCCAGAAGCCCACACAAAGATGGAGCCCTTTCCTTGTCTCCCCTAAAGGAAAAGCCAGACCATATCAGATCTATCATGTACTGGGACCGCTGTCACATCCCAGTGAAATCCCCCACGAATACATGCATGTAAGTTCTCAGATATAGTTATTTGGAGTCTGTTTCCACTCTAAGTCCTCCAGCATCTGGTTGGAAATCTCACAAGACTGCATATTAGAAGCCCCTGAGCTGTGACTCTGATAGTCTTCCTTCACCTGGACCCTCCCTGGGATGGTCTGTGTGAGTGCTTTTCTTTCTTTTCGTTACTGTGCAGATTCATAATTTGGCCTTTACCACTTGCTCATATTTTTGCACTCATCCCTTGGCTTATGTCACTGTGTTTGAATCTTTGAACTTCCTCTCTTTCTTTCTGCTTGAATCTTCTGGCTGACTGATAGAATGACAAAATCAGGCATTATTCAGATCTGTTTTGCAGCTGCATTAAAAGAGATTCTTCAAATGAATGAAGAGCCAAGGCTACTCTGCCTATGACTTCTGAATTTGTGCTTTGCAAAGTTTCTACTTTTGTTTTATCCCAGGCAGAACAAGGCCTTAGAATCCTGGTAGGAATGCAGTATAAACAGAGCAACACCATCAAGGCACAAGTCTGCAGCAGGCCTTTACAAAATGGGAAGTAGCACGTAGCTATATTTAAGGATGTGTTTCCAGAGATTTGAAAGAAATCTGGGTAGTTGTTGACCTAGTATAAAAAATCCAAAAGCAGCAGTAAAATGAGAAAGGACATATTCAGAGTATTTTTAAGGTAAATATTCTAAGAGTAAAGAATCTCTGTTGGATGTCAGACCCAAATGGGGAAAAACTCTTAACCCTTAACTTCCATCCCTCTGAAGAATGATTTGGCTTTCTAAATGCATTTCAAATTGTAAGCAATGACAAGAAATTCAAAGCCATTTCTTTACATATAAATTACATGTCCTTCCAGGTCCTTCCTATCCAAATGGTCAGGTTTTATTTCAGGTGGGTCTATATTAAATATCTTACCTGCTTGACACCATATTCAAAAGCCTTCTGGGCTAGTCGGCCAGGCCCCTCCACAGTTTTTCCATCATCATTTGGGCCCCAGCTGGCACTGTAAATATCCACATGTCCGGGATTGAATCCAATTGAACTGGCTTCAATAGCATCAGTCACAATGCCATCCAGCATTCTTATGCCTGAATAGCAAACCAAAAAAAAAACACAGAAGTTGATGTGAGCATGTACATGTAGAATGGCATCATGCTCTTAATATTCATTTTATTTTTATTTTTTAACATTCATTTTATAAAAGACACTCGAAAGAGTTAAAAACCAGGTAACCACTGGATGCCTCAAGTGCCCGTGACCAGGCTGCTACGAGCACAGAAGGAAGATACAAGTCACTGCCTCCATACACTTTGTTATCTGCCCGTTAGAGATAACTGTATGCACTAAGCAGTGGCCATGATTGTTAATGATTGCAAAATGTGTCCCCTCCTTTGCTACCCCAATAACCTGAAAATGACAGGACAGCTTTCAGAAAGAGGCATCAAACAGCCGTCCCCTGACCAGTCCATGACTATACCATGAATGACTATTGCCCAGCGTGTGCCATATGAAGGATTCTATATGGGACACTGTGTAGCTTGAAAAGATCTACCCACAATAGGAAACTAACAAATAGGGAAAGAACTCTTGTTTCTAAGCACTGATTAAAAATAACCCAGAGGCCATTCTTTTATGTGTTTGTCGAGAAACATTTTCAAGGAACATGCTTCCTTTTCTTGTGAATAATCTCAAGGATGAAATCATTGCCATGGATTTTGCTCCTGAGGGGGAATCATTTTTCATTAGGAGAAGGCAGATGTAGTAGCTCTTTGTACTTTCTAACAGGCTGTCACCCGTCATCAGACTCATGCATTCAAGAGCCAGGAAGGCAAAGGCAAATTAGACAGATACAGGCAGCTAGCTACCTGGTTATTCCTGGCTTCAGGCTGATAATGAAGTGCACAGCCTTATATTTGCACACTGCTATTTACTATGGAGCATAGGTAAAAGAACATGTAATTAACACAATTAGTGAAAGTCGTATTGATTAAAATAAAATTGGCTAAAAATTTATTTGAGGAAAAGAAAATCCCAGCTCTACTTACTAGTTGTGTGATCTTGGGCAAACCACTTAACCTCCTGTGCCTCAGTTTCCTCAATTTTAAAATGGGGATGATAACAGCTATGTGCATTGAGGATATACTCTATGCAGCTACCATACAGGTCTAAACGTACGGACTCCTTTATCTTTATGATGCCCATATGAGGGGATGCCATAATTTTCCCCATTTTACAGGTGGATTATAAGTCCAGAGAGGGACAATGACTTGCTCAGGGCCACACAACTTGAAACTGGGGAGTTGGGACTTGAATCCCAGAAATTTGGCACCCAAATCCAACCTGTGAACTTACGGAGTACAGCACCTCTAATGTGTTGAAGTGGTGCCTTATAAGTGAAAAGTATTATTGAAAATACATTTTGGGCTAGACCGTCAAAGGTGGAATAATGAAAAAAAAAATCTCAGTAGACTTGGAATCAGAAGTCTTGTGTTTTAGTTCTGCATCGCCACAAACTAGCTGTCACCTTGAGAATCTTAACTTCTGATTACTCCTCTCTAAAATGAAGGGATCAGAAGATTCTCTCACAAACTATAGTGAGACACTTCATCATGACTTAAAAAGTGAATTATTTCTCTAGGTGATTATCCAATTTGTGCTTCTGCTTTCATTTTTTTTTAATTAACATTACTTGTAAAAGGGAAAAACGAAGAGCATTTTGACAATGCTGGTATCAAAGGGATCGGGAATGACACACAATTTAATAGTCTGTTGTATTAGAGATTCATTATATGTACCACGACGTGTGTTTACTTGATTTCTTAAAAGGAAGTCATAATCAAATTCAAGGTGTACTTATGCGGAGTTTAAAGGAGTTTTTCGGTCATTGGCATATTCTACAGTTGATCTTTTTTATGTAGTTTCAAAAACAAACTAAACTCAAAGCTTATAGCCTAACTGTGAAAACCCAAGGTAGAGAGATATGAAAGGAGGAGAGGCAATTATGTTCTCTGGGAGTCCCTGCATGTCCACTGTCCACCCATCTTCACATGGAATGCATCAGTGGGTTCTCTTGCCTTCCTGTTGGAAATCAGTCAGGCAGAACAGTAGCAAGAGTTGGGGGATGAGAGGAAAGTGAGGTACTCATTCCCTGGGATCCTCTGCCTAGAAGAAGCCCTGTTGTTGGATTCGGAGCCACATCTCCTGTCCAGTGGTTCTCTCCTAGAACCACAACTTGCTCTAGTTGCCACTGACCCTCTCCTTCCCCTTGCTCCTTTAGGTCTGGGGTGGTAACATCTGTTTTCATTCGTTAACCTTTATTTGTTTTCCTTTACTATTTTTTTAGGCTTTTATTTTACTTCCTGTTAGTTAACCTACAGTGTTCTATTAGTCAGGTGTGCAATCTAGTGATGATTTCCCTTAAGTCTTGTAACTAGTTCCTTTATTAGATTGCCCTGATGGAACTTACCATGTTTCCCCACAAAGACCCTGACTGAAACAACTAGAAATTCTAAATCCGTGCTGTTAGAGACAACCTTTCACTTCTTCATGTAACAAGTATGTATTTTTTTTAAAGACAGTTATTTGCTATGAAATGAAAAAGGACAGAATTGAGAGGCAGGGAAAGTCTTTGCCTAAATTTACCTCCTCCTTCTGTTCCCTTAGCAAGCACTCAATAACAAATCCTTGTAAATTAGCACACAGAGAAAATTAGATTTGGTTCAAAAGTCTTTCAACCAAAAAAAAAAAAGTTTTTCAACATTACTGTTTTTCTCCCCACAAAAAAATGTGTAGGCTATATTCAGCTATCACTTTTTAGAAATCCAGATTCATTGATTTGTTTGCAAATCACACTTAAATCCTACAGCATATTTTACATGGAATTCATTTCTTCCTCTGATTATTGAAAGCCCCCTTCCCCCCTCATTCACACCAAGTGATGCAAGACTCCAAAATTGAAGTGCAAAACTCTGGGAACAACTCTCTGCTTTACCTCCAACTTTGGAATTGTATGCAACTCCGACCCCACACTTGTGATTATTTGCTTGCATGGCAATTTCTCCTGCACATCTGGTCCCATGTCTGAAGATTTAAAAATAGGAATTATAAAACATAAATGAGGGCAAACTGTTGTTTGCACATGAACCCATGGTACATGGCCATACTAACTTTTTGTTAGCCTGTTGCCGTTTCCTTCCCATCAGTATTAGATGAAGTGTATGTATCAGATGATACAGGTACTGGAGCCAAAGTACGTGATTCAGATTCCACCTTCTGCCACTGACTAGCGGTGTGACCTTGAGTAAGTTATTTGTCCTCAGGGATTTTGTGGCAAAACCATTAGATATTGCATGTAGAGCATTTAGAATAGCGGCTGGCATAATGTAAGAACTCAGGAAGTGCTAGCTATGAATACTATCATGAGCAACTCTGACACTTTTCTTTGAAATGGCTTCTGCTCCATACTTTTCAGTGAAGTGGCTCCTCACTCCCTGTCTAGTGACTTCCTTTGCAGTAGGTTATCCTGGACCAGTCCTAGTAGGATAAGTAGAACAGAATTCTCCTCTCAAGCCCTCTTCCTCTCCTCTAACCATACTCCACCAAACTAAAGCGACTGAAGTTTTCTGATGCCAAGGGGAGTTTGAGATTTTAACAGGACACTACTGGCTAATTGGGAAACCAGGCCCTCCTGCAACTCTGATCAGGGCCAGAAGCCTGAATAAGACTGGTTGTGCAATCAGGCAAAGAGAGCAATTTATGATTTCAGAGTATCTGGAGGGAAAAGTCCATCTCTAAAACAGAGCAGAGTCCACCATTAAAGCATCATTTCTGAAAATCTGGGAATAATAAGCATCTTTTCCCACACCACCACCACCGCAGCCCCCTCCCCTGACCTCAGGAGAGTCAATAAGTCAAAAGAACTTTAGTTTGAATTTATTTCATGAGTTCATTCCATTGTAGAAGTACATGGGAGCAGGGTAAAAGCTGTTGGTGCTTTGGTGGAGCTCACATAGGAAAGGGGAAGAGTTAGTTCTGAGCAACACGGTCAGCCAGCTACTTTTAGGCATTACTACACTGGACCTCTATTACTCTAGCCCAATCTAGAATAAATATTCTAAATTGACTATCCAAAATAATCCTGTTTCACTTTTTTTTTCCTAAAGTACCAAAGATGATTTTTTGGTCTCCTTTTACTAAATGATGTTTCTGTTTCTTCATGTTAATACTGGAGAGGAATCCTAAGTCAAAACAATATTATTATCTTTAATTCATGGTCTTTCCTAATGCAGCAGACATCTGCCGCCTTTTTTTTTTTTTTCTCCAAGCATTTTCTCTTTTAGGGAAGTAGCTCTCCCTCACTCCTTGTGATTCTATCATGAGGCTCCTCTTCCCAGACAGCTTTCAAGGATTGTTGCATATTCTGGGGAAGAGAATTCTATTCTTTCTCTAGAATCTTCAGTTTTAAGCTCCATATGAGCCATGTGGATCTTGCTGCCAGGCAAGGTTTTTTTTTTTTTTTTTTTTTTTTTTTTTTTTTTTTTTTTTTTTTTTTTTAGAATAAAGCTAATTGGGAGCAAGCAGCTAAGAGATAGAAATGATTGGGGTCCTAGTAGCATATTTGAGCGCCTGATGTTGGAATGCCTGAAGCTAGACTATATCTTAGGTAATTTTTTTTTTTAAATCCTCATTTTACGGAATCTTTGAGTTAGGATTTTCTCATTTGAAACTGAAGCTACCCTGACCAACAGACTCATTCTCTTGAGAAATGGGTGCACACTGAACGCATTAAAAGGACTCTTATGCTTCTTTGATAGATTAGCCCTCTTTGCTTTTGTAGAAGGAGAAACTGAGATGTCACCCTCTGGGAAGTAGTTCCTAGAAGTCTCCACTACCAGTATTTCCTTTTACACAGGATAGGAGATAGGGCCAGGATAGCAGAATCTGCAGCCTGAGCCAACAGAATCAAACTGTTGGCAGACATCCCCAGCACAGCACCTCTGTCCTAAAAATGATGCAATGTGACACCACCTATTATTTATCTCTCCTTACATACTGAAAATTATTTTCTTGAAAGGTGCAGTAGGATCACGGTACAAAAAAAAAAAAAAGGATTGATATTTTTTCCTCCTCTTACCCTCACTTCCCACCTCCACTCCTTGAGAAAAACAGAAGGCTTTATCAAAGTGGTACTATGTCATTCTTTGTAGACCTGCAGTTTTTTTTCTTTCCTTAAATTAGGCTCTGAGATAAAAGAACCATTTATTATCTTAGAACAATGGTAGTAACTGGCGTTTAAACAAATTGATTTTTTAAAAATTATTCTACAAGATAGTTTAAAGACTACTATTATCCTGGTTAAAATATCCTTGTGACACATGTTATTTAACTAGAAAAATAATCTGTAAGTGGTATTGAAATTCTGAATATAGATTCATGCCAGCTTAATAGTAAGAGTTACCTGCACTTTTGAGATTTTATTATTTAGCGATTCCTCTTTTGATTTGCAGAGGAAATTCAAATGCAGCTCTAATAATCTCATTTACATAGTAATAAAGAACAGCAGCAACACAGATAGTTTGGAGAGATAATGCCCTTGGAATTGGGAGATAATAGGTCTCTAACTGCTATAAAGTCCAAAACAAAATGGAGCCATTCATTTTCTAAACCTAAGGTATTTATTTCTGACAACATGCTAGAAGAGTAACTACTCTTTATTATGCCTTTAGATAAATGATAGGGGTGCTAACTTTTTGGTTGATACTCAAGAGGACCCAGAGAGGTAGTTATTTATTGTGTAATTTTCAAAAAGCAGGTTCTAAATTGGCTTAGAAAATGGACTTGTCTCTGACTCTGCTCCTCTCTGATGATATTATTCTTGTCATGTTGATTTCTTACTCAAAGGAAGTCTTAGTTGTTCTTCATCATCATCATCATCATCATCATCATAGCAAACACAACTTTTTCTATGTACCAGACACCATACAAACTAATTACATATATAAACTCATTTAATCCCCATAATAACCCAACAAAGTAGCTACTATTATTACCCCTTTTTAATAGATGATAAAACTGAGGCACAAAAGAAGTTAAATAATTTGTTCAAGGTCACCCGCTATTAAGTGGCAGATCTAATATTTAATCTAAATCTAACTGCAAAGCCCATCCTCTTAACTGTTTGGCTCTTCACACTAACTCTCTGCTATGTGGGAGGTCTATGGCAGGCACAAAATAAGTACTAATATATGGGCTACTTCTTTGAAGGCTTTGGAGCTCTGTGAATTGGGGGAAATGTGGCTATTCAATTGGCTATCCAGTATTATGAATACAGGATAAAAAAGACTGTTCCCTTTGGAGGGAAGGAAAAGGGATATCTGAGTCCTTCATCTCATGAGTGCAGAAACTCTAGAGAATATAATTTCACCAAGTATTCAGCTATTATGCAACCACAACACAATTTATCACCTACATTGGATCCTGGGGCCAGACCTAGAGGACACCGCCTAGGAAGAAGGCTGACACCTCCAGCTAACAGTCTCCTCACATGCACCCATACAGCTGAGAGCAGATTTCCCTTTTGGTCTCGACCAAGGGAGTGGAATGAGAGTTGTCATTTTTACTTTATTCTAACTTCTTAGAATAAAGGCCCTTTTCTTCCAAGAACTTATTGCCCATTTCCTTAGGAAGTTCTGTTCAGAAGGGCAAGTGCCTCGTCACCCATTTTAGGAGACAAAATGAAAAATAGAGGCGGAGAGAGGTAAGTGATTTCCTCAAGGTCACCTTCTATACTGATAATTGACAAAGCTATGACCACGAGCCAGGCTAACATTACAGGGTCATGCTCCAAAAGAGCATATATTGCTCCTGGTCCTGCAGTGCACTGACTCAGAAATAGGGCTGAAAATGTGTCTGGGTTTCCTGCCATAAATTCCTGAGACTTCCCACTTTCCTCCAAGGGCCCCCCAAGTGGTTTCCATTGTATTGTTACTAGAATATTCTAACTCCTAAGCAGTGTTTGTAGTCAACCCCTTTAAAAAATAAGCCTGAGAAGTAAATGGCACTGAAATAAGCAGTACCTTGGAATCCTCCTCAAGCCTCCATATCTCCACAAGGAGGAAATATACACCCAGAAGTTGAGGCTAAGTGTATGAGCTTCAGCCCTCTTTCTGGTGTTTGTTGGACCTTTGGTGGAGTGAACCATCCAAAGACACAAATGTTAGGTCAACATTACTGCACCAGCCACATGGGAATTTTGAGTGAGAATAGTGAGAAGGAAGAGGGAAAGAGGGGAAAGAGAGCAAATGAAAAAAAATTCAATTAATCCAAGTTGGATAATAGTCCAAGAGAGAAAGCCATACAGAGAGAAAATGAAAGCATTTCATATAGAATCTTTCCATACCAATTGTAGCAACAAGCCCTAATTTTGCCTTGGCTTTGATCTATTTTGGTGCAAGTCTCCTCTGGGTTGAGCAAATGAAGAAGAAAATATGAAAGTCTTCTTGAAGTTATGAGACACATCGCAAAAGATGACTTCTCACCTGGATATGGGCACTTGAGAACATGTGGCTGGGAAAAAAAGGTTAAAGTCTCTTGCCTCTGGCTCTTTATTTGGCCTTTTGCTTTGCCAGTTCTGGCTCTTGGGCTTCCTCATCACATTGTGGTTGCTAGGGAGAATTATTTTAGGAGTAAGAAGATATTCTTTTTCTCCTCCCTTTAGCCTTACAATACTGAGCAGAAACTCTGAGAGAGATTGCTGACTAGTCCATTGTGCCCAGAAAATGTTTTGGATTTGAGGACCGGGCCTCAGAGTACATCTCTGTTGTCTGGTATCTGGCCATAATTTTCTGAGGGAACTGGTAAGCATGGCTGTGGCCACCAAAAGAAGTCATGAGGATTTGTCATCGTCATCTATTTTTATTTTCATAACTAACATCAAATAAGTGCTAATAGTAAGGATTCATAGAGGAATTGGGGTTAGAGAGGATGGGCTGGAGATTTTACTCTTTATGACCTAAACATTCTTTCTAAAGCTATAACTATTCAGTATCATTTGAGGAGAGCATTTCTTATTATAAGAAGAAAGTTTAATTGAAATATGGCTCTATAAGCCAAAAGAAACATAAAAAGAGAAGCGTTGGATTCTGTTTTAAAAGCAACAAAATATTGTGGTATGGATGGTGTGCATGAAAACTTTTCTAAGAGCTGAAATGCGGATCATATTTATAGTGTAATTTTCTCAAATAAGATAAAAGCATTTTAAAGTACATATTCCCCCCCAAATCCACAGTTACTCACTTGTTCTCATTTGTCGGATCATAACGGGGAAATGGATCATGGTCATTATCGTTAAAATCATAACTAGCCTCTGGATCCTAAAGAGACAATAGAAATAACCCTGTAGCATCATTTTTTAAAAAAGTAGCACTTCCCAAGCCTTCTACCCCTACCCCCTCTATCCTGGCTGATAGCTCAAAAGTCTGCATTTCAGAGTGTCTGGCCCAGTTGCTGATCATTTATTATACCTATAAACCAGGCATAAATGATGTACACAGAAAAGTGAGCAAGCATCCAATTCTCAGTGAATGTTACCAAACCTATATAACTCTTTGAAACTCATAGGATATTAGAACCAGAAGGAATCAGAGTCTACTTAGTTCAACAATGTTTTTTTTTTTTAAGTGAGAAAACAGACTCAGAGAGGTTGAATGACTTAACTAAGTTATAGAGATAGTTACTGACAGATACTCAACTCTCTTACGATTATAGGAGCAAATAGGTGACTGTGGGGTGGGGCTCAGATCCACAGTGATCTCCTTCAGCCTTCCCAGTTACACTAAATAAACATGTAATTTTATTAAAGAGAGTGTGCTTGAAATTTAAGACAAGTTTCTAGGTCCCACCTCCTTTTCCAAACAGATTGCTACACTTAAACATTTCCCACTTAGGAATTCTATTACCACTATTGCCTCCTCTCTACATTTTCCATATCTTTCAGTAAGATTATTGAAAGATAATCTTTTAATCTTTTTTTTTCTTCTCTTTTCCTTTGCTCTTTAGCTGGGGAACTTTGAATGAATGGAAAGGATGAAAGACAAGGGACAATCTTAAAGATGAAACACTGATCCAAAGACCTAAGATAATCATGTGCAAATTAACAGACAAGTAAGTAGTTTTCATTTACTTGTTTTCTTTTCTCAGCTTGCCATTGTTGCACTATGTGGTATACATTTTGAATTTGCACGATGTCACCTATAAAGGATGTGAGGCAGAAAACTGTAAAAATGATCTCAGGCATTATTCCTGATTTGATGGCTTTAATGCCCCAAATACTGAGTGATGTACAGTCTGAATGGCTTTTAATAATTTAGATGGTATAGGTGCCTCCCCACTTCCTCAACACAAATGCTTTTGTAAAATCCTTGGCTCCACTGAATGCTTTCAGTACCCACTGATTCAAAAAAGCTCATATATGCTGGCAGGAAGGTGAGGGAAGAGCAAAACCTTAGCCCATGATTCTCAGGGCCGGAATTAGAGCACTGTTCCATTTGAGCAAAGGAAATCCTTGTCTACGTGTCTGTGTAGACATCTCCCTAAGTTGTAGTCATGGGAGGGCCCAGACTCACATAATTGGCATAGATGTCTGTGTGATTCCACTCCAAGCCATCATCCAGTACTGTGATAACAACTCCTTTGCCTGTGATGCCTTTTTGCCAAACAGGTATCACATGAAGATCCAGCTTGGGCAGGGCTGCAGTTATCCTAGTATCTTGCTGGTAAATAAAAAACAAAGAATTGACAAAATCATGATTTACTTGTGCAAAATGAGAACTGAAACTCTAGTCTGAAGACCCATCTTTTTTCCCCCTAGGTCACTCTACTTTTTAGAAGAAGGTGATTAGGTGAAATAAAAAACAAAGTTGATGGTAGGGCCAAGTGAATCATCAAAGTACTGTTCTTTTCCCAGTTGTTCTACTGGAAAATCACTTGAAAGGATGAATCACTCTGTGCCCCTTCTCATTGAGCTACATAGCTTCTAAGAAGTTTATCCATAAGTTTCATTCATTTGTAATGACATGCTCAAGCTTTTTATCTACCAAAGTTCTATTTGATGTTCCATGTTCCCATCTCTCCCCAAATCCTGAGCCTCCCTTGCCATACAGAACTCACTTAATAATGTCTGGTTCCCAGTCATTCATGGATGTTTTAATAACTTTTCTAAAAAAAAATGCAGAAACTAGAATGCCCAGGAGGCTGTCTCACTAGAACTTGAAATTTAATTGCCTATTTCTAAGTATGAGTGATTTTTTTTTTCAAGTATGGGTGACTTAGAGAGCAGGTATCTATGAGAGGAGACCTGGAGGTTTCTTTTTTCAGATGAATTTTCTGATAGTTAAAGTGTATGGGACTATAAGGGAGAAGAGCTGGATAGCAAGGGAATAGAGAGATGAACACATTTCCAAGCATGTGAAAGAGATGCCTTAGAAAATTGCCAGGTTTCTGGAGAAAGGAACAGTAAGAAATTTATAAATAATAACAGTCAAAAGTATCAATGAATAAATTTCCCCATGGCTGATTCTCCTCAGAAAGAAGTAGGGGGAAACTGTTCTTGTTTTTTTTTTTTTTTTTTTTTTTTAAGATGTCTTCATTCGGCATTCGGGGCCCCTAGGTGGCTCAATCAGTTGAGCCTCTACCTTGGGCTCAGGTCAAGATCCCAGGGTCCTGGGATGGAGCCCCATGTCCCCAAGTCAGGCTCCCTGGGCAGCAGGGAGCCTGCTTCTTCCTTTCCCTCTGCCCCTCCCCCTGCTCCTGCTCACACACACTCTCAAAGAAATAAAACTTTTAAAAAAAGTTTAAAAAAGTTGTATTTATTCACTATATATATATATATATATATATATATATATATATATATATAAAGAGAGAGAGAGAGTGTGTGTGTACATGTGAGTAGGGGAAGGTACAGAGACAGAGAATCTCCAAGCAGACTCCCCACTGAATGCAGAGCCCAACCTGGGGCCCATTCCACAACCCATGAGATCTTGACCTCAGCTGAAATCAAAAGTTGGATGCTCAACCTACTGAGCTATCAAGGTGCCCCAGTAGGGGAAAACTCTTAAAAAAAACTTACTAGCGCAACATGAAGCTAAATCACAGGAGGTTGGAACTACACATAGATATTTGGACAAAGCCAGAGAAGATTCCCGTGTCAATTGCAAGAACACTCAATCACACAGTGTGATGGTTAAGAGTATGACCTCCAGAGCCATAAATAATGGCCCCACCACCCGTAAACAGATAACTCTGGCAAGTTACTAAACTTGCCTATGTCTCTGTTTCTTCAGCTTCTAAATGGGTATAATTATTGTATCTACAATATAATGTGAGAAATAAAGGAGTTAATTTATGTCAAACACGTAGAATAGTATTTGACATATAGTCAATACACAAATGTTAATGAGTCTCTTCCACTGCAATGAGCAAGTATTGCCTAGGTTAAGAGAATATCAAGAGGAATTGATCCCTTTTCCCATCCTTTATACAACAAAGATTTCTAAGCCTTAGTTTAGGATTGTCATGAAAACTTATCTTTTGTTATGTTATGAACAAAACCCACTTCTATCAACAGGTATTACTGCCATGAGGCTTAATATTAAAATAGAAGGGAAAACACTCCGCAGGCCAGAAAGAGCACTTAAAATTTCTCTACTCAATGCCCACAGACCAATGAGGATTTGGTATCTTAAAAGTAAAATAGTTTGCAAGTCTAGATATCTGCATGTAGATGTCTTTTGTCTCTCCTTGTGTTCCTTCCTTTAGCTTAGTTCAGAAATTCTCACTTCTTAGCATGTAAAAATTGCCATTCATTATATATATATATATTCATGAATACACACACACAGACATACTGAATCATGTTCACTGTACCCTTTGGGTGATTTAAAGGTTCTCAAGAGTAACTTTGACCAAATGTGATTTTTTCCATGATTGCTGTTGTGGAACTCTTAACTTGCAAGACATGATTCTTCTGCATTTACCTCAGATAAGCTTAAGAGAAGAAAGTAACAATCTTTCCTCTCATAGCAACTAAAGATCTGTGGTTCAGACACTTCCACCTAGTAAAACAGGAGATCCAGATCATGGAAGTTCCCATCAGCCCTAATCTCCAGGTAACATAGCCCTCTATTAAATTGCTTATCATTAAAAAAATCTATTTTCCAGATATAACAAAATAAATAGCTCAGGTCGTATACAATCCTTCTGTAAGTACTTACCAAGTACCACTGCTGATTCCACATTGGATCATTGAAGAGATTTAGTGCTGAGTCTCTTAAAACTGAACGTTTACTTCTCTCCTTTTCATACTGTTGTTCAGCCCATATCACCTACAAGGAATTTTATGGCCAGAAAATCAGCAATAGTCACTTCTGTGTAACCGTCTTCCCTCTAACTGGCTCTAGTACCCTACCCATCAGAGTTGAGGCAGCTCAAAAATGTTTTCGTTTGCAGACAAACTGGCAGCTCAGTGAGAAGGCATTGCTCACTGGGGAGATGAATATTCCGTCTATTATAGTAAACTGTACCTTTAGGGGGAGGAGAAGGAGTCAGTGAAGTGATGATTCCCTCAAATTATTTACACTATGATTCCAGTGGAAGTAAAAGTTAGCCTCCTTTCATCAGCAAATGGACCATAATACTGATTTTTTATTGAGGTCTTAAGGTTTTGTAGCTGAAAATTTGTCCATTTTCATGGAATGAGTCAACAAGCTAAGAGATTCAAGAGACTACTGTTATGGTGCTCTTACAGTTTAATTTCTTTTTATTCACTTGCAAAAGGTAAAAATTGCAAATGTTATGCAAGACAAGAAAGGTGCTGTGTCTTTGCAGATCGGAAAACCTGCTCCTCTGTGCTTCAAGCTCCTGCTTAAGAGTATTTAATATAAGAAACAGATCCAGGGTGATGAATGAGTACTACTGACCATGCACACTTACCATTAATTTAGTCTTATGTATTATGCAAAGAGATCTGACAGTACAAAAATTACCTTTCCAACATTTATGGCATAATCCTATTATACTCGAGATCCTGAGAGGGTGAGGGTCTACCTTGTCGTTATATTCATTATGAAACAATACCATGCTTTCATTTTGCTGGGCAACATGACTGTTTCCTACCCAAAACATATTCTCTCTGTTGTACACTTCATGACAGTTCAGTGTCTGGTGGGGTTAGTTAATTGTGAGAATACTCATGAGTCAGATCCAAAAATAAAAACTAAAAAATAATTTGTTGCTAAAGGATAAAACCATCCACTAAGACTCTCCTGAATTTTCAATCAGAATGTCTATGGGAAACCTAATATAAATATTGGGAGGGACTTGAAAGCTAGACATTAATTGCTATAATTTATTTTTAAAGAACCTATATGTTCAAGCTTAATTGTTTTGGCTTAAAATACCTCAATGCTTGGAATATACTGCCTGTCATCTGAGTTAGTCTTTGGAAACTGGCTGCTAGGGAACAAGTACTAATCTTTGATAGAGAGTCTTTTACAGTTGGAGATTTCATTAACAGACTTGTAAAGATAGCCTATTGCTGCATTTCAGAAGGCTATTTTGAAAGAATATTATCCCCCATTTAAAAAAGAGCAATAAAGTGAATATCAAAAGCAATTTTTAAAAAATGGAATAGAAGAAGAGGCACTCTTCCATCTGATCAGATAAACATTCAGTTGTTGGAAACAGTGTTCTGATTCATGTCATTAACTCCAAATCCCATGCTAATCTCTATAAGAGCAGACCAAATGGAATAGAGGAAATTAGTGGTATCTTTCTATTATACATAAAATAGGTACCATGTTCTTAATTGTAAATAATTCTTTCAATTTGGGAAGAGCAGTAAAGATCAACTAGTCCAACTTTCAACTGCTAGCTTCTATGGTTTCTAGGATTTTTCCTTAAAAAAAGTTATCGTGGGGATAATTTTTCATAAGATTGTATAGACTCCTTTTCTTATGAAGTTAATTTGGAGATTAAATTCTTAGTCTTTATTCATTATCATTTGAGATTTTTGCCCCAAAATCAACTATTAAAGAAATAGCTAAAGAATAGAACTGGGCCATCTGTTCACTTTAGTGAGATATTTGTAGTAATAATCACAGGTATGGCTCCACTGTGACCAATTTTCTTCTGTGAAGATGAGAAGGGAAGTCAGTTTGACTTCCTTGTGCATCAATGTCAGGCATACATTTAGGCAGACAAGGAAATCTCTTTCTTGTTTTGCTCAAGGACTAAGCCTAGCCAGAATCTTGGAAGTTGTCCTACTTTTTCAGAGCCCATGCAATGAGTCATCTGCTTTGGGATGGCAAAAGGAAGACTTCACTGGACAGGAAACTTTTCAACCAATGTTGAGCCTCTGATTCAGTCTCACGTATCTAGCCATGAACTTGAGTAAAAGCCATGGGTGCACAGCAGCTCTGGTTCGCTGTCCGTGGTCCTGACACAGCCTTCTTTGCCTAGGTGTGGTTGTTGTTTACCCAGGCCTGGTCATTCCCTACCCTGATACTTTGCCTTTTTATTCTTTCTTTTAAAATTCCATCAGTTTCAGAACAAATAAAATTGCAAATTATTTCACAGGGTTTATAAATTCCATGTCCTTTCAATAGTTTTATCACCTTTCTGTCACTTATAGTTTCTTTCTAGCAAGTTGAAAGGATGTATTCTATCTCTCACAAAGCTTCCATAATTCTCTGGAGTGTCCTAGGCAACAGAAATCATGATAACAGAAAACAGGCCAGCCAGGATAAATTTCTACCAGTATGGCACATTCTTGAGAAAAGGCAACATGCGTACACAAATTTCAATACTCCCAATATGGTCACCATTTCTATTGTTATGTATGCTGATCTTGAAAACAGACTTCAAAAATCAATAGGTACGCTAGATGTACGTTCAAATTGTCCTCACACTATTTAGCTATATTCATTCTAGACATTTCCTGCTCTTGCCTAATCATTGAATATAAATACAAATCAGGATAAAAAGATATCATATGCTTTCAGTGAAGCAATACAATACTTATGGAAACACTTGGCTCATGAAGACATGGATTTAAAACTTGCTCATAAACACTAGTTCCCCATATAATGAAACCAAACCAAAATGGCAAGATATGTTTTCAGTTATTCTGAAATGTTTTTAAAATCCATGTTCATATGTTAAATTTCTTTGGCATCCCCCATTGGACATTAAAGTGCTCAGTAAATAATAGGCATATAATAAAAGGTTGTTAATTGATTATATTGGTAAACATTTTATTAGAGCTGCCATTAGTTTTCAATATTCATTTTCATGCTTTTAGACTGGATTTGTGAGCTAGTATTTTAAACATATTATATATATATTATATATAAAATGTTTAACTCAGCCTATCCAATCCAATCCAGTTATTATTATGTGCAGTGATAACCCTGTAGAAATAACAAACACTACAGATAATTGTGACCGCTAAAACATAATCATATTTGCAAACTGCTTTTTGCTCTTTTTGGAAATCATAAAGCAGATGTTTGAAGACAAATGCACACACTTACACGATCATCATCAGATAACCTCTTAGTAATATGAAGGGCACTCCTTCGAGACCTTCGGGGATGGTTTTTATGTTTGAATAAGTAGTGATTTTCAAGTGATCCAATCTATAAAAGAAAAATATTAAAATAAAAATCCACTTTCCAAAATAAGTATATATGGATTAGATTGTAACCCGAGTAACTTAGAGACAGGCAATTTTTATTAAGCCCATTCTTTAGGAGGAAGACACTGATAGACGCCTTCACTCTCTCATGACTGTGTTGTGTGAGATGAGCTTACAATATCATCACTTTTGCTAATGGTATACTTGGGGGTTAGTGATACCTCTTTTTCACACATTTCAGAGGAACTACATTGGTTTTCCTGTGTAACAATACTGTGTGGGTACATTTCTTAAAAAAAAAAAACTCTCTTTATCAAATTTATCCTATCAGAGAATAATTTGTGGAAAGCTGGCAAACCCTTTGGGTACTATATATGGTCAGTGTTACCTTCAGCTAAAATAACTTCTTGTTGTTATAAAATATAGTCATTGAAATATAGTGATAATTGTTATAAGCTACCAGTAGAGACCATTTGACTTTCCACTAGTTCAAGGCGTTCTATACACGGAGTTGGGGAGAGGGAAGAGTAGCCATAAGAAAACATCACCAATGCTTAGCTCTTTCTCTGTTATCAACTGGTTTTGCTTCTGGTCACTTCTCTAATTCTATCTTTATCCCGAGGCCTTTGGGAGCTCAGGGTAATGATGCTAAATTACTGTAAACAACGGGAGAGATAAACGGAATCAAGAAAGCACTATCAGTCTTTTCCAAAGAATTTTTATTTAAAAAATGTTTGTTAGTAATGTCATTTTAGCTGGAAATGGCTAGAAAAAATCTATCACGTGCAAATCATATGTAGATATAGATTTCCCCCCATTATTTCTTAAAGATTCCTGTGATCATTCCATCCCTTCTTTGAAGAGCCTACCAAGAATACTAATTTATTTTTTGGTTTGGGATGTGTGATTTTTGAAAGTAATTCCCATAACGAATGGTGCAGGTTTGGATATATGTCTGGGGCTAACAGGTAAGAAGAGGAAAAAGGGATATTTTTGCTCTCTTACCCAGTCTTTTTCCACACAGTTACCAGTGCCATTCAGCTGCCCAAAAGACGTAGGATCAAGTCCCCAGTTATTCCCGTATAGGATGTGCAAGATTTCCTTGATGCCCACAGTAGCTACCAGTACAATTCCACCTACTGCTCACACTCTCCTTAGATCCCAACAATTCGCTGCAGTTTCTTCTAAGCTGCTCTCTTTGAATCTTCCACCTGTCCCACAATCTGTTTTCTATGCCTTGAGTGCCTTCTACTCTCACAGTGTTCTCCTGGCAACCTTTGACTCTTCTTCCTGAACCCTGTGCAAATGTTTCCTCCACTGCGCTCTTTTTTCACTCCTCTCCAATTCTTGTCCCTCTTAAATCCCTCAATCAACAAATAGTGAGATCCAGGTGCAACTTCTATTACACCAATTACATGCAATTCCAGTTATTTGTTACTAAAAATCTCTCCTTTAGCTTCTTGATTCCTTGAAAGTTTCTTTTCCTCCTATTATTCCTCAGCCCCCAAAACAGAGCCTTGGTACAGAACAAAATCTAGGCAAAAACAAAAAGTCTTGGTCTGCTACTGGGACGCGGGGACCGGCTTTTCTGCTGGGCATTTTAAAGACAATTTGGCTCATAAAATTAGAGAATGAAGCCTCTGGCAAGGAGAGGCGTATTCCCCAAGCGGATTCGATCTATGGAATCGCCAACGCCCACGCCGATTACTCATCCGTGACTTCAGCGGCATCTCTCCAACCACCTCCAGAAAAAAAAAAAAAAAAAAAAACCGCGCCAAAATGTTTTACAACTCCCTCCTCCCCCGCTTTGAGGCACACTTCCAAGGCAAGGGGCGAGGGCTTGATTCTGAGCCAAGGGAAAGGAAAGCTTAGATTAAAAATCATACCCCCTGGGGTTTCTCCCGGAATCGCACACCTAAGCTGTCACTCTAGTAAAGCCTTACCCCCCTCCCGCCCCCCCCCCCCAACTATCTATTAAACCAGCTCTCCCTAGGACAGGCAAGTTCTTATCAGAAACTGAAACCCTCGCCTTGGGGAAGCTATTAGGCATTTGGCTGAAGGACAGGAAAGAAAGAAAACCTTGCCCCCCACAGTCATTTCTGCAGCTTGACCCTTCAGGCGGACTGACCCAGCGAAGTTGGGAAGCTCGGACTTTGCAAGTTCCCCGGGAAGACCTGAACCTCCCGGCTGAGGTGAGCAGAGTTGGTCCCGCGTGTCTCACCCACCTCTGCTCCCGCCGGCTCCCCAGGCTGCTCCGCGGGCCCCCAGCCTCTGGGTCCCGAGTCCCGGCCTCGGGCGCTCTTCCCATGCCCTGGGCGTGCCCGAAAGGCTGCGGGCGCACATCGCCAAGCCCGTTTGACCCCTTTGCATCAGGACTTGGATCTGATGCTGCCATATTGAAAAAAAAAAAAAAAAAAAAAAAAGGAAACAGCCGCCTCCTGACGCAGAGCCCAGCTGAGTCCCAGGGGACAGAGCGCAATGCCTCTCCCGGGGGCGCTCGGTTGGTAAGAGCTGCGTGCATCTCAAGTTCGGTGAACAAGCGTGGAGGGATTTTTTTTTTTCCCTCCCAAACCACGCGGGAATGGATTTAAATGCCAAAGCGGACGACAGCAAGAATAAGCTCTCCCCAGCTGCAGCGGCTTCGTTCTGCCTGGCTGCTTCCAGCCCAAACAATAAATAATGCAAGCCTTCTTTCTCCAAGCGCGCCAGGGGCGAGAGCTGCAGAAGCTCCTGCTCTTCGCCCACTGGGCTCAGGAGAGTGCGACCTGGGGCTCCCACTTGGGAGATCGCGCTTCAGTCCCGCCGGTCCCCGTGGGCCCCAGAAAGTTTCTGGAAAGTGCAAACTCTTACCTGACCCAAAAGGTCATAGCCCAGCTCCTCGGCTATGGCCGAAGCTGCCTCCGGTCCCCCGGGGATCTCTGCCGCCCATTCATTCACAAACTGCCTCTTGGCTTTTACACTGTTCAATGCACACCAAGCGCAAAAGAGAGCGAAAGCAGTACACTGCAGAGTCCAGGCTCTTCGCTCCATGGCTCTCACGCTCGCTTGCACACAAGTCAGAAGGAGATGAGGGAAAAGAAGCAAGAGAAAGAAGCAAGCAAGGAGAAAAGCTAGAAGCACTAGCCCTCTTCACCCTCGGACTCTGGACCACTTCTCGCTCCCGGTGGCTCTGCAAAGAGATAGGAGGCGCGCGAGGAGAGGCTGGGCGGTGGCGAGCGCTCTTTGGTCTCCCGGCTGAGTGGAGCCCCAGCCCTTCCAAGCCGGAATGGAAATGAGTGTTTACACGTCAAATCGACGAAAGCCATCTCTTGACGTCAGATCTACCTGGACTAAGATCTGGATGGTATTCCCGGGGGGTTGGAGAATCGGCTAAAATAAGCAGGGAAGGATTAGGGAAAGGAAGGAACCGTTTGCTGGGATCAGTTAAGTCTGCTCCCTGACTGTAAATTCTGTAGTCATGAGAAACACCTTCACTTCTCAAAGAGAAGTGCCCCTATTTGAATGTTACTACCAAGAAGCAAAGGCTGGGAGTTACAGTACACTTTGCCTCCCTTCTGTCCGTTTTTTAAAAAAATATATTTACTTAATTATCTCACGGGTTGGGGGGGGCAGGAAAGGAAGGAGGTGAGTTCTTATAAGAGCCCTGTGGATATCAGCACCTGCTATGAAGAGCAGGGGTCTTAAGTCTGAAATCGGACAGAGGTTGGTAGAGCAGAGAGGAGGGAAGCTTCTGTTGACCAGATTCTGATCGAAATTGCCTAAGAACATAAGCACATGAGGAAGGCATTGTTAAAGCCATACTTTTAAAAATGTATTCTTAACTAACATTTGAAACCCCCTTAAAGGGGATGCCTGGGTGCCTCAGCCGTTTAGTGCCCGCCTTCAGCCCAGGGCATGATACTGGAGACCCAGGATCAAGTCCCACGTCGGGCTTCCTGCATGGAGCCTGCTTTTCCCTCTGCCTGTGACTCTGCCTCTCTCTCTCTCTCTCTCTCTCTCTCTGTCTCTCATGAATAAATAAATAAAATCTTAAAAGAAACCACCTTAAAGAAAACAAGTTTAGTTCATCCTCTCCTGAGTTTCTCCACTCAGTAAAACAATATCTAAAATTCTATTCCAGGGATCCCTGGGTGGCGCAGCGGTTTGGCGCCTGCCTTTGGCTCAGGGCACGATCCTGGAGACCCGGGATCGAATCCTATATCGGGCTCCCGGTGCATGGAACCTGCTTCTCCCTTTGCCTGTGTCTCTGCCTCTCTCTCTCTCTCTCTCTCTCTCTGACTATCATAAATAAATAAATTTAAAATAAAATAAAATAAAATTCTATTCCAGATATTGCAAAGCCTAGATTCACCCCTTCTTTGCTGTGCTTATCAGAAAAATGATTAATCACATACGTTTTAATAGAAAGTTATTTTCTTTAACTGTCAACAGTGGGGTCTAGGGACCCATACACTGTTGTGTAAACTCAGGGAGAGAAAGAGCAGGTGAACTCTGAACTTTCTATTTTTTCTCAGTAGGGCTCTTCACTTTGGTTTTAAACTGAAGTTGTTGTGCCATTACTTTTCCATGAAATGCTCAGTGTCACTTTGTGGGAGAGTTTTTTTTTTTCCCATGGAAAGAGAATAAGCGAGAGTCTAAATGCCCCCCCCCGCACCTCTTACCCACCCCCACATGGACCCCAGAAATGAATTCAGTCTGCGTTGGCTGGCTGAGCCTCTCTGGGTCCTGAGGGATTTAACCTGCCTGGCAAAGCCCCGGGCGTAGTGTTCAGCACCGCGGAGTGGACAGCGCCCCGCGCGGCGGCGGCCAGGGCGGCCCTTCCTGCTGAGCCTCGACGTATTGAGGTCCTTGTGCAGCTCTCCAGAACCAAGCTGTTTCTCATTTGATCTGTCTTCCCCTCTTTAAATAGAAAAAAATAGGAAACTGACTGCAGGGGGGAAGTGTGGTTCGGTTCCTGATCGTGACTACTTACCTCAAGCTCCCAGGAGCGTGATGGACTCATCCCAAAAGTAGAATTGTGAAGCGTTAAATGTCTTGTCTGTGAAAGGTTTTTCTTCTCTTCTCTTTTCTTCTCTTTTCTTTTCTCTTCTTCTTCTTTTTTTTTTAAAGCTCCCAACCACCGGGGGGCGCAGCCTATTATAAGAGAAAGAAGAAAAAGCATAAGATTGGAAAGAGGGCATATGAGATTGAGGAGAAAGGAAGCGATCAGACTAGGTGGAGGATGAGACTGAGTAGTGCTAATTCTTCATTTGCTTTCATGTTCTCAGAAATGTAGACTAGGTTAATAATTTCTTTAAACATAAAGCTTCTTAAAAAATAAATGTCAATGTTAATAAGCCACGTGATCCAGTTAAGTGTATAATATAATAATAATAATAATAATATAATGTGTAACTCTCACTTAAGGTGTTGTGGAATGGGCTCAGATTAATAGCTCTTCTATCCTGTAGATTCACCTGTGTGAGTGTTGATGGCTGGGTGAGCTTTCTTTTTTTTTCCCCTTCACGTTTCAGCTTGAGTTGTGGCCTCAAGCTCTCAAGCTCTCTAGGATATTTATTCTCACAGCTAACTGTGTGCTGGCAAGGCAAAAGAAATTCCTGGCACATATTTAATAAAGGTAAGTTTGGTTAGAGAAGGGATATATTTGCCTCTTTCTTATTATTGTTCAAGTAAGTTGGGTTGGCAGAGTGTAGGGCAATGAGTGTCTCATTAGTGAAGCATTTGTGTTAAATGACGCACTGTACAAACCTGGAGGAAATATTTGATTGATATGCCTCCTAGGATAAACTAAATTCTCATAGCAAAAGCAGAATATTGCCATCCAAACTATTATATATATAATCTCAGTAACTTATTTGGAAATTGTCTCAATTTATCTTACGGACCTGATTTGCTACAATTTCTGGGATGCAGAAGAAATGAACGTTTGCCAAAGCAAAAGAGGCAAATAGGTATAGAATTCATCTTTGTCATATCAAGGGCTAGCCCTATTCTGTTATGTGCATAATGGTAATAACCTCCAGGCCCATCAGTGTTGTATTTTATACCATGAATTAAAAGAGCCAATTATCACACTTAAGTTGCTTTGAACAGCATTTGATTCATCTGATTAATTTATATGGAAAACAGGATAATCGAGAAACTAAAGAGAACAGTGTTTCTATTATGAATTATCAAGTGAGTGTTATGCCTTTCTTGACTGCTCCCAACTGCCGAGTGATACAGTTAATCATTTATTAAGTTTTCTTGGCAAGTAATAAAAGCAAGGCTAGTATAAGCAGGAAGTAAGAATATACGCAGAGATCTATAAGCACCATATCTCTTAGTGTTAGAAAACAAATTTTAAAAAATGTTTGTTACTGTGAAATCTCACAGACGAAGACATAGACATGGCCAACACGCACATGAGAAAATGCTCTGCATCACTTGCCATCAGGGAAATACAAATCAAAACCACAATGAGTTACCACCTCACACCAGTGAGAATGGGGAACATTAACAAGGCAGGAAACCACAAATGTTGGAGAGGATGCGGAGAAAAGGGAACCCTCTTGCACTGTTGGTGGGAATGTGAACTGGTGCAGCCACTCTGGAAAACTGTGTGGAGGTTCCTCAACGAGTTAAAAATAGACCTGCCCTACGACCCAGCAATTGCACTGTTGGGGATTTACCCCAAAGATTCAGATGCAGTGAAACGCCGGGGCACCTGCACCCCGATGTTTCTAGCAGCAATGTCCACAATAGCCAAACTGTGGAAGGAGCCTCGGTGTCCATGGAAAGATGACTGGATAAAGAAGATGTGGTCTATGTATACAATGGAATACTACTCAGCCATTAGAAACGACAAATACCCACCATTTGCTTCAACGTGGATGGAACTGGAGGGTATTATGCTGAGTGAAGTAAGTCAATCGGAGAAGGACAAACATTGTATGTTCTCATTCATTTGGGGCATATAAATAATAGTGAAAGGGAATATAAGGGAAGGGAGAAGAAATATCAGAAAGGGAGACAGAACATAAAGACTCCTAACTCTGGGAAACGAACTAGGGGTGATGGAAGGGGAGGAGGGCGGGAGGTGGGGGTGAATGGGTGACGGGAACTGAGGGGGGCACTTGTCGGGATGAGCACTGGGTGTTATTCTGTATGTTGGTAAATTGAACACCAATAAAAAATAAATTTATTATTAAAAATAGTAAAAAAATAAAGGGTTAAAAAATGAAAAAATAAATTTTTGTTACTGTGACATAAAATATGTACAGTATAGTGCACAAAACCATGTGTGCAATGATTTATGACAAGGTAAACACTATATAACCATTCAGGTCAAGAAAAAGAACATTGCTAGCCTTTCAGAACCATATCTCAATATTTTCAAGAGGCATAGGAGGAGTAAGGAAATAACTTAGGTTAAAGATTTTTAAGTGGTCATGTAAGCTTACTTGTTTCCTTTGAGTAACAGTAACTATATATTAAGAAAAATCTGTAAATAACTAGTCTGTAATTTAAGTAGAAAATATTTGGTAAAAGAACATATTAGAGTAGTGAATCTACCTATTGTAATATTTCTCAACAAAGAAAATATCAGTATTTGTATGGCAAACTGGTGTAAATTGGAAGAAATTTGGGGACATATGTATGAGATTTGAGATCATATGGCAAGAGATTCATCACATTGCCTTTATATGATACAACTTTGATAAGAAAATAAAATACAATATTTAAGGAAAGATATAATATTGAATTCAAATAAATTTAAGTTTAGAAATACGAGTATATTTCCATCGATATAACCTTTTGTCTCAGTTTTTGTGTTTGAAAGCTTATATATCATTGCTAATCAAAAATTTTAAACAATGATCTTTTCAAATTTATTTATAGCTGCTGTCAACACAAAATTTTATTTGCACAAGTAGAGACAAAAAGGGATATGCTTGCAGCAAGTTGCTGAAGTAGATATCAAGGTGATAGACATTCAGCTAGGTTGAGCTCACTGCCTTGAGGCCCGGCCAATGAGTGATAATCATAAA